TACTATATCACGTGCGATCGTCATTGTTCACAAAGTGCGTGACCTATTTTAGTTTCAACTAGTAATAACAACAAAAACAACGAAAATATTAAAATAATGTATTTAATCTTAAAGTTTAGTTTTTTTACAATAATATATATTTAAAATGTGCCAGTTTGTAAGCAGAGGGGGAAAATAGTTGTTGTGTTGACGTTGTGTATTCGTTCATTCGTCATGCCAAACTACGGCAAGTTCAGTCATGTGAAAGTGACCGTAACTTGCCGTCAGAAGGTAAATATACCGATAATCGATATTTGAATTTCAATATCGATTATCGTATCGCTAAATAACTTCTACCGATTATCAATTATATCGATATTTTTGCACAGCCTTAATGAACACAGCCAAAAGGAACTGGAAGTGAACCACTATTTCAGATATTCTGGTGGGTAATGATCATCTAATCTCTTTGATAAATAAACTCAGAGTGAAACATGAGTTATTCATAGAAACACTACAATAGACACACACAGACCAAGAACTCTATCAGGAGGTGATTCATCATTCTTTATATCACTATAGAATGTATTACACTTGCTGTGGTATTTCATCAATGTTATTCTATGATACAGGGTTTATATACTGGCATTCATTGTATAAAGATCTCTGGTGATAAGTCAAAGAATTTCTTGTCCTATTACATGTAACAATACAATATTTCTTTTCTTTAAATTTGGCGAAGTATCAATTATGAACTCTGTATGCATCGTAAACAATGCTGAATTCTACAAATATATTCGAAAAGATAAGATACTACTACCTACAATTTACTAACTCAAATATAGCATTCACCTACATGTAGGTGACATGTACTTGTACTCTGTAATGTAAAATGTCTGTATGATTGTTTAAGGTAGAGGTTGGTTATTATTACTGTACACATGTCGTACATGTATCAATAACATTTCAAGGAATGCCACTTGTTGATATCCTTCTTTTATTGTTTCAATAATAAGACAATACTTATTGAAATGTACTTATATACATATATTTTATAATTAAAATAAAAATAGTTGTGAGAAATAGAACAATATGATGTCTCATTGTGATCTGATTCGTGGTTTTATTAAAGAAATAAGGGTGTTGGGTGGCCGAATGGTTAACGCCAACGCATGCAATCTTAAGGTCTGTCATTAAATCTTGTGGCGTGGTTTCGATTATCGGCTTGTACGTGACAAGGACTAAAATCACCTGCCCAACCTAGTGGGTTTTCTCCGGGTCCTCCAGTTTCCTCCCACGGTCCTACTGCTAAAGACCCATAGGCACTAGCGAATTATTGAAATATAATTGAACCATATGTTAGTCCCGAAATGACCTAGTTTGTGTGAGGACTTCTCTCTCTTTCTCTCTCTCATAGCTAGGATTTTAGCTAACTAGCTGTGTAGCTACCTTTAGAGACACTGTCTGAGACAGTAAAACCTACATGTGGTGTGATATAAACGGCTTTCTAATTCTATCCACCCGACTCATTCTGTAGAGATATTGATCCAATGGTAGACTAGCTTCTATTAATCAATAACCTTCTCCTATGTTATATAAATACTGGCCCACGGCGTGGAATATTATACAAGAGATCACAAGAATTATCATACACACTCAATTACTGTACAATTTTCAATATCACATTGAAATGGATTTAATTTAAAGATTTATTAAAGTGGTTCTGATTTCATGAGTATCAAGTACAATATTTTATTCATTTTATGTGGGGGGGTTGGATGGCCGAATGGTTAGCACGTGCACGCTGTATCATAAAGCCTGTCATTGAGTCAACTGGCGTGGTTTCGAATCCCCGGTTGTACGTGACAAGGAGTAGGGTCGCCTGTCCAACCTCGTGGGTTTTCTCCGGGTCCTCCGGTTTGCTCCCACTGCTAAAGACCCATACGCACAAGCGAATTATTGAAATAAAATTAAACCATATGTTAGTCCCGAAATGACCTAGTTTGTGTCGAGTGGAGGTTAAACCCCTTTCTCTCTCTCTCTCATTTTATGTGATATATATATTTGATTTTTGTGTCCTACATGTAGAATACACATGTAGATAAACAAATTTAAAGAATGTAAACTTTCTGATGTATACATGTACATGTATGTAGGTCAAAATATATATTTAATTGGGTTGATCATGGGGTTACTTTCTAATGGGTATCTGTTTTACTTCTGGGTCAGTTATACCTCCACATTTGTTTCATGTAAGGTCATAAAATTTTGAATTGCCAAAAGCAATTACAAACTTCATCACATTAATTAAGCCTCTTTTCTTAGGAGATTGGCCAAACTACAGGAGAGATGAAGTTGTCTTGTGTTGCTCTCGCATAGGCTATACTTTTTTAACTACTCATAAAAAAAACACAATAAAATCAACAAATTTATTTTTGACCTAGATTAATGAGGCCTAGCAAATTTAAGGTACATTATGACATGAAATTGGGTGCATTTATACATGTAAATAAGCATATTTTTGTGTTGTTTTTTATTATTATTGCTGCAGGTTATACTGTACATTTCTAATCAATCTGACAAATATACATTTCAATACATGTACCTAGATAATGTAGTGCAGTAAATGAGACAATGTTTATTTCACTAAGAAATGAAAAATCTATTATATCAGATAATCCATATCATTACTTGTTATTATATTCGCTGTAATACACATCATGTACTACACAATAATGTAAATGTGTTGTATCTCTTAGAATATCACTGCAGCTTTGACATGACTCATAAATTTCTAGCAGTTGTCAATTGGAAGGGCGGAAACGCAACTAATAGTTTTCTATCAACACAAATAATGAACAGATTTGACTAAATATTGCCATTTAAGCATGAGGACACCATGTTAAAAGATCTAGTAGTATTGATGATGTCATCAATGTATAGGGTAATAACGTAAGCTGAACACAGGGCACGGCAGTTTTCTGATATTAGTTGGCTACTGACCCTACTCCTTTAATTAATAAAATGATTGACCTTTGTGAATGGGAGATGGGGGTGAGGCAATTTAGTTAAATTTGATGTATTGATTTGTTTTGGGAGCGTGATGTCTTGTCTACATTTAAAATATTAGGTCTGCACGGAAATGTACATGATTTTCCGTTCAACATTTTAAGACAGAAGCATAATTAATATTAGTAAACGAATTGATCTATGCTTTATCTTTCTGTACAAGTGGAAAGACATGTAGTTCTTGTCCCATCACTCATTAACATACAGTGTAACAATATATATACATGTACATGCAAGATCAATCAAATACATTTTCCTAAAATTAAAGAGGTTTATCTACATGTATCTACTCTTACTGTAGTTGGAAGTAGATGATGGGATACAGTAGAATCCTTGTATTGATGTTAAGAAAGTCTTTATATACATGCTGTAGTAATTAAATATACATGTATCCTCACTCCTAAAAGCACACAGACCATTTATATGAAATTACATTCACTAGTTTTTTATACATAAAGTCGGATGTCTCAACAGATATTCTCGTATGGTTTTCAAGCACAAATAAATATGATAGGAAAAACTAAAAGATAATATTGCCCTTTGGCTTTTGGCATCCTTATTTTGTATGACTATATATACACTGTATGTATTGTATCATTTTGCACACAGAGATCTGTCTACTTCATACTTCAAGAATAGATCTCCGGCCTGAATGGCTGCCATATACAAAAATTGGAATACAATTTTATGATTTGGTTTTCTTCTGTTTCACATCTGTCATACACACAAAGAACAAATAAACCTTTTCAATTTGATTGAATATGTACAGAATAAATTCTTCTCAAAGTATACATAATGTTTTCGACTAAAATCACTGACTTAGGACTTAAAATGTCGGTCAACTAGCTTAGTGTCTGGTTTCAAGCAGAGCTAACTGTAGACAGACAGCCTAAGTTTAGTATGGGGTATTCTATATTTACTTTTAGTGTACTATAATCTGTGCTTGAGAACAGTGCAGGGTGACCCACGATTTTGCATGAGGAACTAGAAACCTCTCCGGGCCCCCAAAAATACATTTTTATGCGGGAATGGGGGAGGTTCCCTCCCAGTACCGCCAAGTAATATTGGGCTGTGTGGAACATGCTAGAGTCGATTTGTAGCATATCTGACCCACGGTATATATGTTTGATACTGGTTAAGCATTATGATTATGATGATGATGTTGAAAACCACTTTCAAACTGCACGACTTTTGACATTATTGTGAGGGGGCGCAAAAACTCAAAACCATGACGCAAAGCATGTCATGTTGCGCCCCTCTCACTTAGCCTCTGCATGAGAATACTTGTACTTGTTGAGATATCCCACCATATGTATAATTGTATTCCATACATGTATATTGAAAGGTTATTGTATTTTTAATATTCTCAATTTCTAAATGGCACATGAAGATTATACTCTAAGTATTGCTGGATGTAAAATCCTCATACATATGTTATAGTACATGTACTTATAGTTATAATCTGATAATATATCTATGGTATTGACACATTCCATTCTATTTATAACATCTGTTTTAGTCATCAATAATATTATAACTTTATTATTGTCACATGCTGTTCAACTTACATTATATTCATACATTGGTTAAATACAGGGATATATGTATGTTTAATTCAACCTTATTATAAATCAGTCCTCTATAGATCCGAGCAAGGTTTAGAACACATGTCATTCAGGAACTGCCTGCCACCATCCTGGAGATCAAGATGATCAAGATACATGTAGGTTACGGTACTTTAGTTACATGTATCACTTGTTACCAGGAGCAACACGTCAGGTGGGAGTAATGATGGTCCTGAAAGGCCCCATTGCTGTATCTCCAAAGTCATGACTGTGCCTGTACGTGTAATTACGGGAGTAAAGTTTTGCAGTATATCTATGTACTGGTACATGTATATTTTTTACAGTTCTGGTATATATGTAATAGAAGTATTTGTTTGTGTTTTTCAGATGTACTCGGTGGTTATAATGGAACTATTTTTGCGTATGGTCAAACTTCCAGTGGTAAAACACATACCATGGAGGTAAGTTATCCTGTTAATGATTTACAAACAAACAAGGTGTAGGTACAAATCAAACGAAATGAAATGGGGTTTGATGTCCTACTTTTCTGCACCGTGCACGTAATGTTGGACACTGTTTAAAGCACACTGTCATGAGTTTGGGGAGGGCCTTGTGGAAAAGCCAAATTCTGTCATTGGTGTTAATAATAGATATATCTGATTATTGTTTCCTTGTTTCGCAAGTTCTAATGAATTGAATGACTACAATATTATTATGCAAGAGCCAAGATTGGAAAAATTACAGTGGAACACTATGGGGAGAGGTTATTATTTAGAATTACATGTACATTTTTGGTATCATTATTTGAAAGCTTGTTAGGATGCATTGTAAATGCTAATTGTCTTTTATTGAATGTACCAGATAAATAAAAATTTTTTTTATTTTTTCAGGGTATTTTACAAAATGATTATATGGCTGGTATTATACCTAGAATTGTTAATGATATATTTAATTATATTTATGGTATGGATGAAAATCTCGAATTCCATATTAAGGTAAGTTATGCTTGCTAGTGGTAATATAATCTTTGCAATCTCTTTGTTGTTATTCAGATTTTTCAGTTAAATTTTACAGTTTCGAATTAACATATAATGTACCATACTCAGGAGCAAATATCACTTACATATACAATGTACTGACTATTGCCAATTACATGTCACTTACAATGCACTTTGTATTTCTTATTTACAACATGTTGTACTGACTATAGCCAATCACATGTCGTTTACAATGTACTTGTAATTCATATATATACATCATGCTATATTGACTATACACAGATACACAGAAGTTTTATTATTAGAAAAATTATTTCCAATTTTTAAATTCAGCTCAGTAATTATGCAATGTATATTATATATTTTAAGGTTTCCTATTTTGAAATTTATATGGACAAAATCAGAGATCTCTTAGACAGTAAGTTGTCTTTTTTCTATCCGTTGGATTTTAGTCGACTCTTATTTTATTTATGACATAGTGTGCGCCGACTGTTTGCCAGATAGATTTTCACGGATGAGAAATCAATATTGGGTGAACCGTCCTTTTGGTTGTTCCTTTGATCAATGTCAGGACCTTATAGAACCAAAGGAATTAGTATTGATTTGATTAACCTGTTGTAATTTAGCTGAAAGTAGATTGATTTATGATACCATAGTGACCGGTTCATTATTTAAACATCAAACGGCTAAAGTCGACAAAAAACAGCCGATTAAGATCCCTGTATGATCTGCTTATGTAAGAAGTTAAACAAAATCTTGATGATAGTAAACAAAGTTTTTATTTTTTTATTAACTAATTCACCGCCTATCGTGTTTAAATCCATTGAAAATCTCGAGCATCCGATGGCATCGAGAGTTGATTGTGGTCTTGGCAAATTAATAAATGTCTAAGGCATAAAGAAAGACCAGCAATAGGAAGATTTAGCTGTTACATAATTCATCTTTTTAATGATCAGCCAGTGATGTTATTGTATTATTATAAATCTTTTTGCTTTTCAGTAACTAAAACCAATCTAGCTGTCCATGAAGATAAAAATAGAGTTCCCTTTGTAAAAGTAAGTGACCATTTCATGTTATAGACAATTCAGGATAATACAGGTCACAATTCTATGGAATGCAATTACTGAGCGATGTTTCGACTAGGCTTCTCTAGTCATCATCAAGCAATGATAATGACTAGGGAAGCCTAGTCGAAACATAGCTCAGTTATAAGCTGTAATTGTATTCCATAGACGTGTGACCTGTATACTCCAGTTCAATTACTAAATGCCTTTGAAACAATTCAGGAAAACTGCACAACAAAACACAGACAGAACAAACAAACAAAAGGGTTGAGATAAAAAAAAACTTAGAAAGGAATGGGGTTGAGTTAATCAACACAATATCTCAATCAGTTTAAACCAACATGATTTGTTTTTCTATACTCCTATGTGCAATGCTAGGAAGGAAATTTTTGTTGGGTCAGCAGGTTTTCTGCCTACTCTATGGTTAGGTCTAAATATTAAGACCATCTGCTGAATTCGTCAAGGTCACGTGATGTAAACAGGGATAGCGCTAACCCTAACCCACGATCCTCAGCAACAATTGATGTCCTAACTCTTTTTACATCTTATGAAATCTTCAGGTGGCCTTAATATTTAGACCTGACCCTATTCTATAGCTGTTTCTACATACCAGCCAATGTGTTCAGTCATATCTCATTTTCTTAGTGCCATCCGTACAACTGGGAATAGAATTAAAGAGGAGAAAATAGAGGAAAAATCTGTGGCTTTGTCTTCTTGATTTCTGTTTGGTTACATTCCACACTGACTGTTGGAAATGAGGTTCAAAAATGTTAAACAAAAAAACTGTTGTCTTGTAAGATATGTCACATGATTTGCTAAGAATTTGCTGTGTACTTGTTTGTGCAAAACAATCTTGTTGGTCTCAAATTGTACTTGGATTTATTTACTACTTTTTAGAGATCAGATGAGCTATGTTAAGTACAGGTTCTAGACTGTCCAAACTTAATTCACAAATAATATTTTTAAAAAAAGATTCTAATGAATTCTTCTCATTTAGGGATGCACAGAGAGATTTGTATCAAGTCCAGAAGAGGTGATGGAGACCATAGATGATGGTAAAGCTAACAGACATGTGGCTGTTACTAGTAAGTTTAACAATTTTCATCGTATTTTTGTATTTAAAACCCCAACATGCCAGAAAAATTTAAACTAAAACATAGACCCTATCTAGATGTTGCTTTACTACAGGCTCTTCAGATGTAGCTCTTGCATAATGTATGATTAAGATTTCTTTGTTATTGGACTATCTGTGGTCTATAAACAGAATTATTGTTTTGCTTACAATTATAATGAGACTAGTTCTAAGCTTGATATATTTTATTTTAGATATGAATGAACATAGTTCAAGAAGTCATAGTGTATTTCTAATCCATGTTAAACAAGAAAATATAGAAACTGAGAAAAAACTCCATGGTAAATTATATCTAGTCGATTTAGCTGGCAGTGAAAAGGTAAGGTTTCATCTAACATACGTCGAGTTCTATTGTTACTCAGGGGGGTTGGATAGCTGAATGTGCTTTGTATCGTAAGCTCTGTCATTGAGTCAACTGGCATAGTATCAATTCCCCGGTTGTACGTGACAAGGAGTAGGGTCGCCTGTCCCAACCTCATGGGTTTTCTATGGGTCCTCCGGTTTCCTCCCACTGGTAAAAACCCCTACATGCTAGCAAATTATTGAAACAAAATTGAACCATGTGTTAGTCCCGAAATGACCTAGTTTGTGTCGAGTGGACGTTAAACCCCATTTCTCTCTCTTCATTATTTATCTGGTAGCTTGATAATTTATTGATATTTTATATACTTTAGGTCAGTAAAACAGGAGCTGAAGGAGCTGTTTTAGATGAGGCGAAAAATATTAATAAATCTTTATCAGCTTTGGGAAATGTCATCTCCGCACTCGCTGATGGCAATGTAAGTATTTTAAGTTGAAGATTCATTCATAAATCTCATAGAGAGAGGTTAAGAAAATCCAACATGCACATTGACAATGAAAATAAACCTATTGACGGTGGTATTGTCAAAAAGAGTATAACTACTCTTTTGTATATTTTACATAGAAATGAAAAAAAAAAACATGTCGGTCAAAGCGATCAAAACTGGTATTTAAATGTCTTAAGTAAAATAAATTTGTATATTTGAATTAAAAAAACAAAATTATCTGATTTTAATTTCCGTTTATTTATTATTATTTTTGGTTTTTTTAATTTCAGAAATCTCATGTACCATATCGAGATAGTAAACTGACCCGTATTTTACAAGAGAGTTTAGGAGGAAATGCTAGAACCACCATGATTATCTGTTGTTCACCAGCCTCCTATAATGAGTCAGAAACCAAGTCAACATTATTGTTTGGTCAACGGTATGTTATCTATTTTTAGCTATAAACCTTTAAAGATGCATTATCCTGAAGCAGAAATTAGAACAATTTTGAATAATGACCAACTAAACTGACCTTATTATCTAAAATCCAAGTACTGGCCTACATTGTGTGAGGTATTTTGCAGGAGTCTTTAAGTTAGTAGAACATATAACTGGTCTTAGTTGCTCAGATGCAATGATTTGTATAGAATGATGTCAATGTTTGTAACAGGATATAGGCAGATACATATACCACTGTTATAATCATTTCAGAGCTAAGACTATTCAAACTGTTGTTATTATTTCAGAGCTAGGACTATTCAAACTGTTGTTATTATTTCAGAGCTAGGACTATTCAAGCTGTTGTTATTATTTCAGAGCTAGGACTATTCAAACTGTTGTTATTATTTCAGAGCTAAGACTATTAAGAATGTTGTGAGTGTTAATGAAGAATTAACAGCTGATGAATGGAAGAAGAAATATGAGAAAGAAAAAGAAAAGAACGGTAAACTAAGGGGAGTAATCCAGAAACTACAGGAAGAATTAGCCCAATGGAGAAGTGGTAAGTTGACTATCATAATAAAATAACCATTTTAATCTGATCATTAGCATGCCCACTGCAGTATGAAGAGAATAGAGGCCACACAAAAAGTATCAATAAGGTTGTTCAAGTCAGCCTTTACTAATCAGCCTTCAATCATATTATTAATACACTGATTTAGAAATTCTACCAGTCAAATTTCTGTTCAGTGCAGTTGTCTGGAATATCATCCATTGATAAACAAATGCCAATTTGATTGAACACTTATTAAGAAATTGAATTTTGAAATACAGTCATAATGGACTTTGTTAGTAGATTTAGATAGCTACTGTTATGTATTTACTCCATGCACAGGTTGGACATGATCTGTGAATTGATGATATTACTGCTGTAAAACGAATGGTTAGCACGTGCACACTGTATCACAAGGCCTGTCATTGAGTCAACTGGTGTGGTTTCGATTCTCCGGTTGTACGTGACAAGGAGTAGGGTCGCCTGTCCAACCTTGTGGGTTTTCTGCTGGTCCTCCTGTTTCCTCCCACTGCTAAAGACCCTTACGCGCAAGCGAATTATTGAAATAAAATTATACCATATGTTAGTCCCTAAATGACCTAGTTTGTGTTGAGTGGATGTTAAACCCCATTTCTCTCTCTCTCGTTTCGCATGTGCGTTTTATCATAAGGTCTGTCATTGACTCAACTAGCGTGGTTTCGATTCCCCGGTTGTACTTGACAAAGAGTAGGGTAACCTGTCTTACCTCGTGGGTTTTCTCCAGTTTCTTCCCATTGCTAAAGACCTCCACATGCAAGTGAATTATTGCAATAAAATTGAACCATATGTTTGCCCCAAAATGACCTAGTTTTTGTCGCGTAGACGTTAAACCCCACTTCTCGCTCTCTCTTTTCTCTGGTTTCACATTATGTTTGTTCTATCTATTTTTGTTCTGTCGTTTTCCTGTGATGTATATGTGAATGTTGTTTTTATAAATAGGTGTGACTGTACCAGTTGATGAACAGATTGATGCTAAGACAGCTACAGCAGTAGAATTAGATACACCAGTTAATAGTGCTCCACCGAGTCTACAAGCTAGTGTTACTAATCTTACTGATGATGAACGACGTCAAATCGAAGAAGAAAAAATGAAATTATATCAACAACTAGATGACAAGGTTTGTGTTTGAATCTTTGGTGGGGCCATAGAAAAAAAATTTGAAATTATTCACATCGAGGGGTAGTGTCTGCTGATATAATAGAAAACATAGTCTTACATACCATGGGGGGTTGGATGGCCGAATGGTTAGCACGCGCGCGCTGTATCATACGGTCTGTCATTGAGTCAACTGGCGGGGTTTCGATTCCCCGGTTGTACTTGACAAGGAGTAGGGTCGCCTGTCCAACCTCGTGGGTTTTCTCCGGGTCCTCCGGTTTCCTCCCACTGTTAAAGACACCTACGCGCAAGCGAATTATTGAATTAAAATTAAACCATGTTAGTCCCGAAATGACCTAGTTTGTGTCGAGTGGACGTTAAACCCCATTTCTCTCTCTCTCTCTTACATACCATTAAGTCATGAATGTGAAATGGTGAATGTAAAAGATCCATTTCCAGTGGAAATTTAGCTGTCTGCGTAAAATTCTCCATCATCTTATATCATTTAATCTTGTGTATTTAGCACTAATTTCTTTTACATTCATTCAGTATCAAATCTTTGTTTTGAAAACTCGTAAAAATCGTTCAAAATCTCTAAAAATCATCTAATTACGAGTTTTTTAACAAAGATTTGATATTGAATGAATGTTAAAGAAGTTAGTGCTAAATTGACAATATTAAATGATATCCCGGTTATAGTGTTATTGCATATCTAAATATAATAGAAAAATTAAACAACCCTATGTTCTATGTACAGCAGTATTAGACCTTTTTGGGGGAAACGGTTCTAATTCTCCCTTTATACTCAATTATTCTAGGATGAAGAAATCAACAATCAGGCACAGTTAATAGAAAAACTAAAAGAACAAATGGTAGAACAAGAAGAATTGATCAGTCAATGTAGAAAAGATTATGAAGGTGTAACACAAGAGATGTCACGGATTCAGGCAGACAATGAATCAGCTAAAGATGAAGTGAAAGAAGTTTTACAAGCTCTTGAAGAACTCGCCATGAACTATGACCAGAAATCCACAGAAGTAGAAAGTAAAAATAAAGATATTGAACAGTTATCAGAAGAATTGTCTCAGAAATTGGTACGTCTTTTAATGTTCTGTTCCTGGAATTTTATAAAAATGTTTTCCGAAATGATAGTGCATCTCAACTACGAGATAGCTTTGGCTTGTAATTCTTGCTAAATGGACTGTGTTTTTAGTGTGTTGGGCGGAGGGTGGCCGAATGGTTAACACATGCGCTTTGGATCACAAGGTCTGTGATTTAGTCACGTGGTGTGGTTTCGATTCCCTGCTTGTACGTGACAAGTAGTAAGGTCGTCTGTCCAACTGTGCAGGTTTTCTCCAGGCCCTCTGGATTCCTCCCACTGCTAAAGATCTCTACGCACATGCAAACTATTGAAATAAATTTGAACGATGTATAGTATGTGTCAAGTGAGCATTGAGCCCCATTTTGCTCTCTCTGTAATCTGATGATATCATGTCTAATTTAGCAATCACATAGAAAATGTTAGAAGTTATAATCTGAACATATTTTGTGATTTAACCAACATGAGAAAGGTTATAATATCTGTATATATTTAAATATTATTTATTTGTTAAACAGATTTCTTTAAATACGGTTCAATCAGAGTTTGAAACTTTAAGAGATTCATCGTTACATCAGAAGAAACGTAGTTCCGATATGATGCTTAGTTTATTAAAAGATTTATCAGAAATAGGTACCATCATTGGTGGCAGTGCTGCTGAATCAAAGGTACGTCTGCTTTAAATAATCCTAATTTTCACGAATTATTTATGTTCACCTTTATTTTAAAACAGGGCGGGGGAATGGCCGATTCGTTGAGTGTGTGCACGCTGCATCCGATGTCTGTCATTAAGTCGACTGGCGTGGTTTCAATTCCCCGCTTGTATGTGACAAGGAGTAGGGTCCTCTGGTTTCCTCCCACTGCTAAAGACCCCTAAGCGCAAGTGAATTGTAGTTTGTGTCAAGTGAACATTAAACCCCATGTCTCTCTCTCTTTGGGGATCACGTGGCTAAGTGGGTAAGGCGCTGGCTCGCTAGTCTGGAGGTCGGGTGTTCGATCCCTGCATTGGCCGAGAAAGTTCATCTCGATTTTCCGGCGTGGTTTCCCCTTGTCAGTGATGCAGAACGGAGGGCCTGACAAGGACAGCTGCCTAGTCGTTCGGATGGGACGAAAAACCGAGGTCCCGTGTACACATTGGTGTGCACGTAAAAGATCCCTTGGCAGTTGGAATTCGATATAAGAGTAGGCCGTAGCGCCGCTGCCCGGGCAAAATTTCCCTCATAGCACACTGTATGGCGTATGCCCGTCTTCAATTAGCCCAGGTTAGGTGCAGAAGAGTAGGACGTTAAACTCAATTTCATTTCATTTCATTTCATGTCTCTCTCTCTTTGTGTTGTTTTAAAACCAAGAACAGAGTTAAGTTCTTAATGTTTTTGCTTCTTACTCCTCTTTCTTAATGAAATTGACATAATGTTTCTGTTTTTGAGAATAGGTTCTTTTCAATATTTCAAAACAACTGAAATAAATGTCGAGGGAGTCATTATAATGGAAAATTGATACTTTGTTTATAATCGTAGCAGTAGTACTTGTCTGAAATTTTCTGTATATTCATTGTTCATTATCTATTTTTGGACTATTATTGCAAGATATGTCATAATTTGTATTTCAAAACAACTGAATTAAATGTTGAGTCATTATAATGGATAATCGATACTGTGTTTATGATCGAGACTCTCTTGTCAAAATTTCAAACACTTGACTGAAATTTTCAATATATTAATTTTTCATTGTCTATTTTTGAACTGTTACAGCAAGATACGCCAGCTCTTTACCTAAAATCTTACATAATATATCTTTAATATATAGTATGAATACAGTGCCTACATAATATTAAACCCCTCGGGCGCCCTGTTGAATTACACAGTATTTAACGTTTTAAAACCTAACTACTTTATGGAATCAACGACAACTCTAAACTTGGGCACCCCAACCATTTTTATTTTTGTTTTATGAATACAGTATGCTTGAATGTGATCTAATTTATATTTTACAGTTGAATATAACTTCTAGTGAGAAGATTGAAGAAGAGTTCACAGTGGCTCGTCTTTATATTAGTAAAATGAAGTCAGAGGTGAAAACACTAGCTTCCCGAAACGTAGAATTAGAAAATTCTCAATCTGAGTGCAATAAAAAATTCGAAGAATCCAAGACAGAATTATCTGACTGTAAATTAAAGATAGTGCAGGTTTGTTTATTATGTTATCTTTTTTCAGATTAAAGATTGATTAGGTTTGACTTAAGAAAAAAAGTTTTATGGTGGTAGAATTTGAACATTTGGAACTGTAATATCTTGATTCTGTAATTTTTATTAGTTCCTACTGATTATTAACATTTTATATTTGTTTGATCATTTAGAGAATTTTCTTTTTTAGTTCTCCAAAAGAATTTTTTTTTTCTGCCTTTACAATTCCAAGTTTTTTATAGAGTTAATTAAACTTGTTTTTACAGCATGAAGCTAAAATTACCACATTAAATGATACGATTAAAGATATAGAGAGTAAGAAACGACAACTAGAAGAGAATGTTGATTCATTAAATGAAGAAATAGCTAAACTAAGGGCACAAGGTGAGTTAGAAACATTGTATTAGACTTAAAATTAATACAACACAGGGTAGGCTGGATAATTACGGTTTCTCCCTGCCAACAAAGGTCTATAGATGGTCATCATTAAATTTGAATTGTTTGACATTACAAACACGACTTATTGATCAATTTAAATCCACATTGATGTTGTGATCTTACCGTGAATAGATGGGCTTCTGATATCCAATATTTAGGACAAAATTAACATTTTGAAATTGGCACACAACTCATTTACCAGAATGCTTTTGAGCCCCAGTTGTATGAAGCGACTTGATGAACGAAGCTAAACATAACCAGTGGAATAACCAGATACCAAAGACGGCCATACAGTTCAGACTCTTCGCGTATTTCTCCGAACATAACTGATAAAAAAATTAAGAGTAAAAACAAAAGCAATTGAATGTAAATCAGTTTATGTACATTCATATTACATTATTATATACGTTGTGACCCATTTGTGTCCATTTCTAGGTGTCAGAGAATAGCGATTTAACTCTGTTAATGTATGTTCCTCCTGATCCAGTTAATGGCGTTGATATGTATTTAGTCATATATAGAATTGGTATGGGGATAGCACGTTATCTTAGAGAAATTAAATGTGTGTTTAGTAAAATTTAAATGATGGAAATTTAACAATGTTGTTAAATACATGTATTTTCAGAACAAATGCATACAACAGCCATGTCTAAACAAGCTGAAGCATCTAGTAAACTTCATTCTGAGGCCCAACTCAAGGAAGCTCTTGAAGCTCAAATGGAAAGACATCGTGAAAATCACCAGAAACAATTATCAGCGCTTCGTGAAGATATTTCAGAAAAACAGGGAGTTATTGATACATTGAAAGAGTAAGTTCGGGTTTTTTAATAGATAGTTGGCGTGGATATATTCTCTGTGCTGGTTAAACTGGGTTTAGGTGGACGATCATAAGGTCTGTCATTGAATCGAGTGACATCGTTTCGATCCACTTGTATGACTGTTGAATATCCCTGGATGCAATAAACTAGTTTCTGTCGAGTGGACGTTTAAACACCTCAAACTCACATGTCAGATCAAGTGAATGGATCCGGGGGGCTAGCCGTAAGCGTCCACTACGCTGTAATGTCCCAGGCCAGTAGTGATACAGTGGTTTCATGAAAATGTCTTTAGTAGTGCTTTATTTCATATTGTTATACTTTTATTTATAGTACCAACCAGAAATTATCTCTGGCATTAGAGAAACTCCAATCAGATTATGATAAACTGAAACAAGATGAGGCCGAAAAATCAGTGAAATTATCCGAACTTTCTGTCCAAATGGATCGACGTGAACAGGCTAAACAAGATCTTAAAGGCTTGGAAGAAACTGTGGTATGTAGTCGTTTTCTGTGCCAATAGATATGTTATACATATTAGCAGGCCGATTGTTTCTATATTCAAACAATAGATATAAATTATACATATTACCAGGCCAATTGTCTCTATATTCAAACAATAGATATGTTATATATATTACCAGTCCAATTGTTTCTATATTCAAATAATACATTAAATCAACTATAAATGACTATAGATATTATTGAGTATCATTATTTTCTAGATAACATTGTATAATATTGTTTTTCTCCAGGCCAAGGAACTTCAGACCTTACATAATCTACGAAAAATATTTGTACAGGATCTTCAAAACCGCGTGAAGAAGGTAATTTCAACATATTTCTTTCTATATTTTCTCAATATTTACGTATACAATATGCTAGTTAGATATGATGTATTTACCTTTCATTATAGGGGGTTTGATGGCTGAATGGATAGCTTGTGCGCTTTGTATTATAAGGTCTGTCATTGAGTCAACTGGCGTGGTTTTGATTCCCTGGTTGTACGTGACAAGGAGTAGGGTCGTCTGTCCAACCTCATGGTTTTTTTTCCCGGTTCCCTAGTTTCCTCCCACTGCTAAAGACCCCTACGCGCAAGCGAATTATTGAAATAAAATTGAACCATGTTAGTCCCGAAATGACCTAGTTTGTCACAAGTAGACATGAAACCCCATTTCCCTCTCTCTCTCTTTCTCTCTTTTATTATAGGCACGTGTTACAAACACTGCTAATAAAGTAACTGGGATCAACCTACCTCCATGATGTCTCAATATGAACTGCAGGACTGTCATTCTGTCTTTATCACTTCCGTTTAGCTTGTTTACGTGCTTAAAAATGACAAGAGAAACGTTGTAGAAACATATCTCCGATTGAAAACAGTAATTTTATATCTTTATTTCCGATAGTTCCCATTAATAAGTCTATTACACATAGTTACTGATAACCAGACATCACAACAATTTCTTTTTTTGATTGTACATCATGCATGTTTGAATATTTTAGTCCGCAAATAAGAAAGAAGATGACGAAGAAGAAGATGCTGTAGGAAGCACCGCCCAAAAACAAAAAATATCTTTCCTAGAAAATAACTTGGAACAATTGACCAAAGTTCACAAACAGGTACAATGTTTTGTTAGCATACAAACAAATTGATGAATTTAAAGTTTTGTAAAAAAATTATTATTTAAGTAACTATTAATGGACTACAACATTTACAATTATTTACAACATTATAACCCATATTAGGAGTTTTAACAGAAACAACAACATTTGTGAGCTGCTCCCAGAAAACCAGGCTGTTGGTCATTTTTATAAAAATAGAGCTGGCAGCATATTTATATAGTCCACAGCCTAAGCTTTCCAAAAATGCAATTCTTTTTAAATATGTCGTATCATCTGAAAGTGAGTTCGGCTCATTTACAGCAACAAGAAGGCATTTAATTGATGCTTTTGTGCCCGTAGTACGAAATGAAGTTGTGCGACAAGCGTCTGGTTTCGTGGGAGCAGGTCACATTATGTATGCACTCTATACAAGGTTGGATGGTTTTAAGCCAAGTGCCACAATAACCATTTTATTTTGGTTTTTATTCCTCAAAACATTTTTTTGTGTGTAGGTTGGATTGAATATCTTAACAGACAAAACTTTTTAAAACATTGTCGGCAACTGAATTTTTCTAAGTTGGCCTGGTCCTAAATCAGAAATTCCCTGTTTTGGGTGCTAAAAAATATTTTGATTTTTTAAACAGTTGGTGCGTGATAATGCTGACTTGCGATGTGAATTACCCAAATTAGAAAAACGTCTAAGAGCAACAATGGAAAGAGTAAAATCATTAGAAACTGCTCTACGAGAAGCTAAGGAAGGAGCAATGAGAGACCGAAAGAGGTGAGTAGTTTTTATTTTAGGTATGGAAATATCAATAATTATGGCCGGAATCTTAAAGTTACATATGGCATATTCCTTTGTACTGCTCTTTAAGTTTCTAAACAGATTAAAACCAATTTCTATTAAACAAAACTAAAATGAGAATATCCTATTTGGATTTTAAATTAAAATACATCATTTTAAAATGTCTCTAAGGCATTATAACCAGTCTCTTCTAACTTGGATGGACTAATTTGAAAATTCTGCATGATGAATGCTTAGTCAAGTAACCCTTGTCTTACCTCTTTATCTTAGAGTAATTTCTTATATTAATATGCATGATCAGTTGAGAGATGGTGTTGAAGAACCTACTGACAAAATCTTAAATAAAAATGTGAGGTTCATCACACCTGTTAAGACAATGCGTGTTCAGTTATGTCATCATAAAATGGTGTTTTGTATACGTGTTGGTTACTTATATTAATATCTCTGGAAGAGGGGGTTGGATGGCTAAATGGTTAGTGGCGAGCGCTGTATCATAAAGTCTGTCATTAAGTCGACTGGTGTGGTTTCGAATCCCCGGTTGTACGTGACAAGGAGTAGGGTCGCCTGTCCAACCTCGTGGGTTTCCTCCAGGTCCTCCGGTTTCCTCCCACTGCTAAAGACCCATATGCGCAAGCGAATTATTGAAATAAAATTAAACCATATGTTAGTCCCGAAATGTCGAGTGGACGTTAAACCCCATTTCTCCCTCTCTCTCTATCTCTGGAAGAATAGTGAATATAAACATCACTGTCAAAGCAAAATAATGTCATTGCCAATACATAGCACAAACAAAAATGTAGAAAAAAATTATTGCCATCATCTTAGTCTCGAGATGGTCCATGTGTCAAAACATAGCACAAACGAAAATGTAGAAAAAACGAATTTTAGTCTTATGATACCCAAAGACTTAATGATATTACTATTTTGAATGAATTAATATCGGTGGAAGATATAGTTGTTAGATAAAACCTCTGCTTTGCACAAGGCCTATTTGATCTTTACCCATAGAACTGGTGTTGTAGGGATTTTGCTTGTGTTTTGCCTTATTTTTTATTATTATTTTTTTTTTCCTTTATGTGCATATTTTCGGGATTAGAGTTACAAAGCAAATGTAATTTTTAAAATTTTAATTAAAGTCGCTAAAGAGCATGATTTTTATTTTATTGGAGGTGGAGGAATATTTTCTAATCTCTTCATTGAAAGACAGCTTGAGAATTTCGTTTTTCTCTGAAATCGTGATTTTGCACAAAATTTTCGAATTGTTAGTTGGAGATTGGAATTGATAATAATGCACATAATATTTTATTAGAGCTCAATGGTGGTCAAATTAGTGCATTGGCATGTAGTAGAATATTTACAGACTAATGACAATTTTTTGAACTAATTTCTTTTCAGTGATCATGATAGGTAACATTCCTGCTTCTCCAATTCATTAGTGTGCTTCTTATTAATGAGTTATTAATTACTGTGTAGTGTCGAAAACTCATTAAAAAAATCATTTAATTAAATTCATTAACATCATTATTGAAGAAGCTAGCTCTGATAAATGAAAGTACTTTCAGTTTTACTAACAAATACTCTAAAAGAAAAAGTAAGCCAGTCAAACAGTACAATTCATTCCTAACAAAATTTTATTAGCTTACAGGAACTTTTTGTTGGTGTCTTTTTTGGCTGTTTTATGTTGCCATAGTAACCATTAATGCCAAAATTTTTGTTAATTAAAATTCAATTGCTTAAATTGTGTGTCTTTGTTTGAACTTTCTAAGTCTGTGAAGAAATCGAGAAATAAGAATGTAGTGTTCTTTTTCCAGCTAAATATTTTCACATTAAAAATTAGAATAAAAAAGTTTCTGCTATTTACTAATCTAGGTTTTATTCCTAATGAATAGAATTAGAAATAGATATATATATAGATTTAGTATGGTTTGGGTTTTAATAATAATATTTATTAACAATCACTTCAAAGTGCCGTAATCCTCTGGTATTTCAGATACAGGCAGTACCAGGCTTACATACATATAAAGGCTTGACACTTTGCTCTGAAGCCTAGAGCCTCAAAATTTATTGCGCCTATAAAGTGTATAATGTTTTTGACACTGTCTTAAGCTTTTTTTACACAGGCTGTAGTCTTAAACATCTGACATATCCTTGTCTTTACTCAATTGTGTTTAAAAAAAAAACCCAAAAAACACACTTTCATCTTCCACAAATCGTGAGTGAGGGAAGGGGGATTGACAGTAGAATAGTCTAGGACCTCTCTGTATCTAGCACTGGTTACAAGAACATACAATCTGGTCATTTTGTAGTGATTGGTTAATTAGAACCAGAGCTCCCAATTCAGTCATATTTCAAGACTGGCTGGAAAACTTAACCCTTCAATTTACATCATATGAAATTCTAATATCAAATATTAGTGTAGAAACACTAAAAAGATATTTTTTATAAAATTGTTTAATTTGAAAAGAAATATCTTTCTAATTAAAGTAAACAAATTATATCAGAATTTTGAAGTGAAAGCTTTCATTATTAGAACCAAGTCATGACTTGGATAAATACTTGTTAATTCTACAAATTTTGTTCCTTGATTATTTTTGACATTAGTTGAAGTTTTGTCACTTGCGATTTCCTTAAGCAGAAAATCAAATTTTATTTTGTGTTTCGGGCAACAGTTCTACCTTTCATCCATATTTTGTCATTGAGATATTTTAGTAAAGCATGTAAAAAAAAACAATAAATGCATGAAAATTTTAAGTTTGGTATTGCACAATAGGCTCTGCATAAATTCTGAAAAATTAATATTCTACATTAAAAAAAAAATTGAAATTTATAAAACATCATAGCATTTTAGTCTAATACCTCTAGTTACATTACATAAAGCCTATTAATGATACTTAGTTGGAAATATTCCTTTTTAGCCTACAATTCACACAAATATTTTAAGATGAATGAGAATCCTAGTCGTTAATTTCAAGTAGGATGATATATTATAACATGGATGTATTATTTTAATTATTTTGTCAACAGGTATCAAATGGAAGTTGATAGAATAAAAGAAGCTGTAAGACAGAGAAACTTGGCTAGACGAGGTCATGCTGCACAAATAGGTAAATCTTAGATTCTGTTTTTAATTTCACCTGTGGAAGTGACCTATCTTGTTATCAGGGAAGTGAGGATAGAGTTACAGAGATAAAAAAAAAAGGGGCCACAAAAATTTGTCACCCGTCTAAAACTCCTCACACCTCAGATGAGAAGTGGTATTAGGTGTTCTAGAAAGGATAAACTGCTTCATGTCTGTCATTGGTAATACTTACAGTTAAATGGAACAAAGATTTCAGAATCTGAAATTAACCACATAATCTCTTTAAAAGGCATATAGTGAAAGCGATATATAATAACAGACAGCTTTTTGGATAACATGCACTAGGTTTATTAACTGCAACTTTTCAATGAGGATACTCTCACCGTCATCATTGCTTGATAACGGTGAGAGTGTCTTCATTGAAACGTTGCAGTTGATAAACCTAGTGAATGTTATCCATTAATCTGTCTGTTATTATATCCCCATAACCCATGGGATTTGAGACAATGATTTTTGAGCTTGCACAGACGGTAGGCATATTATTCAGCCTGACAAGACCCTGTCTATTTTATAAGAGATAATAATATACATCATATTGTTTTCAGCTAAACCAATCCGACCAGGACAACACCCAGGTAATTCACCTGCTACAGGTACTGGCATTAGAGGAGGTGGTGGTTCCCAAAATGGTCCTAATCCTATTAAAATAGAGGGCAAAGCTTAAGGTATAGTATAATATATTTGTAAAGAATAGATTTATGGATATGTTTACATGTACTAGGAGACTCATGCATGTAGAATTTACAACTAGTATGAGTTAATGATATTCCAGAGTACACATTGACTGTTTCCAAGCCTGGAAATAAGGCACCTGTCACAGACAATGTCAGGCACAGATTCAGGCTTTGTCAGGCACAAAACCTCTGGTACGTGTCACCCGCACTGATTTGTCTTTTTTATTGATATTATTAATACATGTCCAGCACTAAGTCAGGTACATCTAAAACCGTTATTTCCAGGCCTGACTGTTTCGTTTCAAATCTTTTTCAAAGAATAGGGCATGTCTTAGAGTGACGCATACTCCATACTCTGCCTTATGAAATTGTAATTGATAGAAATATTTGTTGAAAGGTTGATCATGAGCAAACCAGATTGTTCCCATATATCTGAAAAATCAAAAAATATATTTTATTTTAATGTAAAAATGGGTTAGCTTGTACACTAGGGATAGCACAATATTATAACTTCATTTGAGTAGGGCAGAAGTTTTTTTGTGAAATCAATAGAAATTATTATAAACTTTGATTGGCCTGAACTTCAGTTAGAAGTGTTCAATTAAACATTCATTATGCAATAGCTAACTTAATCTGCCTATTGCAGGTCTTTCTTTAGGCCTGAAATGTTATATAAACTACCTATTTTTTTTTTAATTATTATAGCGAGAACTGTCAACCCTTTATCTAATCTCCCGTAATTCCTCTTTAAAATAATTTCCAGTCCAAAATGCTTTTAATTAAAATACTTTCGATTGTGTATGATCTGTAATTTACTTAGATATATCTGCTGGTATAAAGATTGCTATACAATTTTTATCTTACAAATTTTTATTTCAGGAAATTATATGAAGTGGACCAAGCTAGATGCTCTGGTTATCGTAGACTACAAGCTATATATGGATTGTTTCTCCTATTGTAGCATTCCGCTATTTAACTTTAGGCTGTGTGTGGTGATAGATTGATCATTTATTCAGCCAATTATTTCATTTCAATAAGATTATAAACGTGCAAATATTCGTACAACTTCTTTGCTTCACGGTCATCATTAACATTGCCAGAATTTCTGAACTTCATAATTTTAAATTGTTTATTTTGGTGATGGAGTTAACAGTTTTTAAAATGGGACTACAGTAGTGTTAATGAAAAAAAAAATTCATTATGTCTTCAGCTCGGTTAGCTTTCGATAATTTGAAGAAGATTACAGATCATGTTCTCTGAAAAAGTTGAAACTTGGCAGTGCTTTACGTTGAAGATGTAAAATTTGAGAGAATTTGTGTGCTGTGCATAATGATTCCAATATTGTTTTGGCAATGTTAATATTCATCAGTCATTCATACCTCATTTCTTGACTAGTGCAGCCATTTCTAGCTATTGATGTCATATATCTAGTTTTATTACTATATAAATTATTAATAAGTATATAAGCAACTGGAATAATGAATTATTTATCCACATTATGTAATATTTATTTCTGTCGTCCCATTGGCTTTGCTAACCACCATGTAAATTTTACACCTAGCTTAAATTTGGCTAGTGCTGATGTTAGGAGGCCAGACCATTTATATACTTTTTGTGATTCTTTGGGTCTTAATTGTAATAGTATGCTACATTGAAAACATTTGATAATTCACCATTAGAATTAAATACCTTTCGGATTAAAAACATTACTTTGACGTTTCAGCATATTATGGATTTTCTATTTTTAGACTTGGAAATTTTTTTTGAATACTAGTACATAATATAAAGCCTAAAAATAATAACTCAGTACGTGTTTGATTAGATCTCCACATGTCTATACCCATATCTTTAAATAAATGTAGTAATTTACATGTGTTAACGTATTACAGAGGAAAGCTTTTAAAACATATTCAAAGATTGAAAAGATAATGCTTCTTAAGAGTTTTCGAAAGAAATTAAATTGTTTCTATTCAAAATCTACATGATCATTGATACTTTGAGGACATATTGAAAAAAAAAGAGAAAAGTTATTAAATAGGGAATATCCTTATTCTTTCGGGAGTGATGAAAATAAGAGATTGTGAATCACCCTCAATGAATTCTTTGTGAAAGATGGAAGTACTTTATAAAATAAAGTTAAGAGAGAAGAATTTATTCCTTTATATTCAAAGTCATGCTTTTTTCGAAAGACTGGAAATCTTAAAGGATTCTAGAAGGGGGTAGATAGAGTGTGCGATTTGTCCTCTCAGATTTAACTTTAATTTAAGAACAATTGATGGGTTTTTATTAACTAATTGAAAACAAATCAGTAAGTTTCAATCTGTATTATGTTCAGTGATTGTAAAATATTGTATATAGATGATTTCTTTTCATTTTTTTTTTATTTTTTTTTTTTAGAAAATTTAAAGGGAAAAAAAGTTGTAATATGATGATTGAATATCAGTTCATTCCTGATCGAAAACATATATTGTTGTATATCTTTGCTTCCCTATTTGCTTGTATCATTAAAATTTTATATCCATTAAAAAATATAGCTTCAGGCATGGTTCTGATTCTTTGTTGTCTACTTACACATAATCAGTGTTTGAGAACTGGGTAGTATGCCGATAATTTGCACTAGAGCAAAAACATGCATTGCACTTAAGCCAAATAATGCATAAAAATCACGTTTTTCTCTAGAGAAGAATGTGCATGAGACATACTTTCAACACTGAATATTTTTAAGGTGATCAGCAAGAAATTTGGCCGTGATGAGCTAGATCACATGTACTTTGAGATTTAGGATTTAGAATGTCTCAATTGGTTTGTAGAAATGTTTTCAAGCATAACTTGTATGTAAATTGATATCCAATTACTATCATTATATGATCTATGTTGAAATCACTGCTATATATGTAAACTTTGTTCTTGTTAGTGGCCATATTGTTGGGCTTACTGTAGGTGTTTTGTTTTTCTGTATGTACATTATTAAATATTTTCAAGTTCCTGTCTAAAATCTAATCAATTAAAGTATTTGATATGACAATTGTGAATGGTTTTTAAGTTGCTCGAATTTATGAATTTGGTAAATAAAATGAATATGTGCTGGAATATTGTTTGCAAATATTATACTTAAAAGGCGATGTTCTAATCAAATGTTTCTCTCAATATGCTATTTATCTATAAATCTGTACTTGAGTAATATTTATTAACACTGTGTAATCGATTTACTCATATAAACTTTGAACTTCGACTTTACTATCAATGTATGTGGTGTTATTATATATAACTGCTATATTCTATAATAATGATTTACAATCTTAAAACGTTGTGTACCGGTAATATTATTTATAGTCTATGAGAAAATTTAAGCTTATATACAATGTATTTTCACCATTTTGAATAGAGGACAAGCGTCCAAAATGCATTTATAATTTATTTTGACAAAGAATAAAATATGTTAAACAAAGTGTATTTGACATCAGTAATTCGTTAAGAAGGAAATGAGTATGACTACCAGTAGCAAAGAGGTAGACAAAGTCTTAAAAAGAAATTGAGGGAAAAACCCCCCTTATATCTCTATCTTATAGCATTGGCTTTTGCACGCAAAGCAGAGTATTTAAAATTTAGAACAGGAGGGAATATTGTTGTTTTGTTTCATTAGGTCTTGTTTTTTCAAAATAAATCCACTCAGGAAGACCGTAACTGAAATGACAACATGATTGAGGTGAGGTAGCTTGAACAAATAAGACAAAATATTTGTACATTTCTGTTTAACCTTGCATTAGAATTGTGTCTTATAGTATAGTAGTCATGAATCTAGGTTGATTATGTATCATGTTAATGAGGCTTTATTATCAATTAATTAATTAATTATAATTTATACTCTTTATTTTTAACAATGGTGCTCTGTGTATGATGTTAGTCTTTCATATGGGAATAAAATAAACAGCAAATTGTGTTGATTAGCATTTGACTGGATGTTGAAAATCCCTGCTTCTTTGTGTAAATATACTTTGTATTAAAGGAGTGTGCAAGGAAGCAAGTATTTTCAATGATGCATTTAGCTCTTTGTAATATAGTATTCCTTTTCCTTTCTTTAAGAGCACCATTGTGTCTTGTACATGTACATGTATTATTTTTTTTTTTGTTAATATTTTTTGGTGGTAATGTGTTATTTATTTTTAGGTTGTTGGAATATTTTAAACCAGCAGAGGAAAAGAAAAAAAAAACATTTAAAAATATTCCCCCATGTCCACTTAGTATAAAATATATATAAATGTATCTCCTGCTTGTACACCTATTCAAAATAAATATTAATTTGGAAACATGATATAGAAATAAAGCTACCCACTTGTTATGGGCTTTATTGTAAAATATAATATTCATTATTCTTTAAAGGAGTTAAATCTCTAATATTTGGGACCTAGAAATAGACACAAAGATCACAACATCAATGTTGATTTAAATTGACATAACAATTCGTGTTTTCAATGTCGATGATATTGAGTTAGAGACTTAGCTACTTTAAAGTATGAAATATTAAAATGTTAGAAATTGTGTAATACAGTGCTAAACGAAACCATTTTCATACCTCAATCAGCATGGCTTAGATAGAAACATCTCAAATATTCTCTTAAACTGTGCACTTTTATATCATTGATAAGTATGTATCAGCTCCAAGAAAAAAATTAATGGTGGAAAGGGAATAACAATGACACATAGATTTGTACATCTGTGAAATATTTAATTATAACATATACATGTGGATATTACCCAAAACTGTGGCCTGGTTTTCTGAAATATTTTTATTTGTATTAGCTGTGGAGTTTATTTTGTTGGTTGTGTCAGTGAAAGTATAATTTTACACAGAGTCAGCTTAATACCAGAAGGAAAAAACTCAGTCCATTTGTTATATTGTCAGCTTAGTATAGAAAAATTGGAGTCATTTTTTGCTGCTATTTGTTCAGTGTTTTACATTGATAAATGTAAGCTTTACTCTGCACAATAAATACATTTACATCTAATTTCTATTCTTTCCTTTATTTGGGGATAAACCAATTACATAATATATATCAACGTAAATTTAAATGTACATGTTTTTATAGGCCCATATGTTGTCGTCGATCCGTTGCAATCAATGTTTTTGAACGCCCTAGGTTTGGCACGTTACTTTATATTTTAGTTCGGTTCCAGGTGAAAACAGGGAATGAAATACATGTAGTTACCCAACACACACCTAACACGAGTTTCTGGTATCTGACAATTCCACAAAAGGCCGCATGGTGAATGATTAGTGTTAAATGATAAGGCCAGCTCAATTTTTCGTCAGATCACGAGATGTAAACAGGGCTAGCCCTAATGCTTACCCTAACCTTCGATCTCGCCAACAATCACATGCCCTAACCTTACCTACATCTCAGCGATCTTGAGAAAAATTGAGCTTTACTTAACAATAAATAGTATGACCTGCACCCGAGACAGTAATAGTCTGTGTAATACTGAGGGGGGTGGGGGGGTGGATGGTCAAATAGTTAGCATGTGCGTGCTGTATCATATCTGTCATTGAGTCAACTGGGGGTGGGGGGGCTGGATGGCCAAATAGTTAGTATGTGCGTGCTGTATCATAATGTCTGTCATTGAGTCAACTGGCGTGCTTTTGATTCCCCCGGTTGTCCAGACAAGGAGTAGGGTCACCTGTCAACCTAATGGGTTTTCTCTGGATCCTCAGGTTTCATCCACCTACTAAAGACCCCTACGTGCAATTGAATTATTGAAATAAAATTGAACCATGTGTTAGTCTCCAGGTACTACGATTTCCTCCCACTGCTAAAGACCCCTAGGCACAAATTATTGAAATAAAATTGAACCATGTGTTAGTCCCGAAATGACCTAGTTTGTGTCGAGTGGACGTTAAACCCTGGCGCGCTCTGTAATGTGTGACACCCAACTCTTTAGGAATACACATTGATAAATCCGGAATCACCAGTGCTAGCGAGAGAGAGAGAGAGAAATGGGGTTTAATGTCCACTCGACACAAACTAGGTCATTTCGGGACTAACATATGGTTTAATTTTTATTTCAATAATTCGTTGCGCGTAGGGGTCTTTAGCAGTGGGAGGAAACCGGAGGACCCGGAGAAAACCCACGAGGTTGGACAGTCGACCCTACTCCTTGTCACGTACAACCGGGGATTCGAAACCACGGCAGTTGACTCAACGACAGGCTTTATGATACAGCGCGCACGTGCTAACCATTCGGCCATCCACCCCCCCCCCCCCCCCAGTGCTAGCGACTGCATGGGGCTGCAAATATAATACTCTGTGAAACAGACTGGTACAATGGATCAAATTAATTACAAACAGTGAAATTCGAATTAATAAATCAAACTTCTGGGATAGCTGGGTTTGGAAGATACAGTAAAAAAAGCTAAAAATGGTTCCCTATTTACATTCCCCCATGAGAGACACCCACGACCAAAAACTGAACGCATTCAAAATCCTAAGTCGTGACATTCACTCATGGCAAAGCCAATCTTTTGCTATATATTTCCCTTCTATTCGTTCATTCATAAGTGTGTTGTACTCATAATATAAGTGACCTAAATAAACCCAACTAACTACTCATCGTGATCAATCAAGTCGAACAGCATAACAACATGGCCACCCAAGAAAGGTGCGGTGTGTGTACGAGGGACTTGGTTAAACCAAAACTTTTCCCTTGTTTCCACACCTTCTGTGGTGAATGTGTCCGAACACTTATCAAGGAAACAGCCCAGAACGGAAAGCTCAAGTGCCCAGTGTGCCAGAAAGATGTTCCAATTCCTAAGGGCGGTGGAAAGGATTTACCGAACAACTTCTGTGTTAATCACGCAGACGATAGAAAATATTTCTGCTCAAAGCACGAGGGAATGGAGTTAAAATTTTATTGTACCGAATGTAGTAAGCTCGTTTGTGTAGATTGTGCGGTGGTAGCTCATAAAAACCACAATCAAATAGATTTAAGGGATGTTGGTAAGGAGACCCGAAAGAAGCTGTCACTCTGGAAAACAACCTTAGAGAACATGATTGCTCGACAAAAAATATACTCTGAGCAACTACAGAGCAAAATGGAAGACATCGAAACCACCGCTAAGAAAAGTTGTGACGATATCGACAGGCAAGTGAAACAAATCTGCACAGAAGTACAAAAACTAGGAGAAGATATGAAAGAACAAATTATTAAAATCAAACAGGCACAAACTAACAAGTTTGCGTCAGTTAAAAACAATAACGAAAAGTTGGGTGACTGCTACAAAAGAGGGTTCCAATATTCCGAGTTTGCCTTGGCCGAGCAATCGTCGGTACCAGTTCTGGAAATAGCCCCGGGTGTGGAAGCTCTGATAAAAGAGATGGAGTCAACCAGTTTAAATGTTCCACAGATCAAATATACATATTTCTATTCTCCTGAGACGAAGGCCGATGTAGGCTTAAGCATATTAAAGCAATACGTTGGCGACTTGCAGATGCTGTCAGAAAAGACTTTCATGATAGGATTTAGCGTTTCCCAAGTCGCCAAGGACAAAATCTTTTGGAGTAAAGAGGAAACAACGATTAACTTCCTATCCTGGCACGTTGGTTGCATGCACACAGATAAATCAACCCTGGGCATTTATTTAAAACTTAAAGATGGCGAATACAAGACACTGAAATCACTTAGAGCTAGCTATGCACTGACGTTGCTGAACAAGAACAATAAGAGTCTTTCCGTCACTATTCAAGATGATTGTCCAAGATCATTTCTTCCTGGTAATATCGGGGGTTGGTCGTTTATAGATTGGAAGAGATTAACCAAGGAAAATGGATACCTTGATGAACTCAACAGTTTCCAAGTTAAAGCAACAGTTAGGATAGAACGACTGGACACTAATTAAGTAGTGTAATGTATTTGTGATGCATTGTTCAGAATTTTACTGAAATTTTCATGATATTCCCTTTTCATTATCTAGTTTTTAACTATTATGGCGAGAACTGTCAGATCTTTATCTTATCTTCCATAATGCCTCTTTAATGTGTTATCAAATTTAATTACGTTATGCGCAAATAATTGTTGAATTTTCTAATCAAGGGAGATAACTAAAATTAGGTTTAAATATTTTGTCCCAAAGCTAAAATTTGTAAGTTTGTTTCGTCAATAATGTGATATTTCTAAAATTGAAAATCTTTCTATCCAATATGTTTGGCAGGGAGAATGTTTCATTGCGACATTTGTACATATTTTACCGAATAGAGCTATTTTACGTACCGGTAGATGATTTTTTTTTATACATGTAGTTCACGATTGGTGCACATGAATGAAATAATAAACGGTAGTTTTTACTGTCAACACATTTAAATGTTTCCGGTCCACAACAATAAAGTTAAATATTCTATAACAATTATTCACAGTTCTTTCTACTGAAGTTATGTGTCTGAGGTACATAAGGTAGTAATAATTATGCTATCGGTTTCCACCATACAATGCAGCTCGTAGCTTATACAGGATTACTTGTACCTACAGGGCCATCTTTAATAGCGTCATAGACCCCCGGGAAAAGCAGTGCACTGGGGCCCTTCTTACACAACCACTTACAGGAATAAATATATAAATGGTTGATAAAATGATTAAACCTATATTTAATGTATTGATACTTCCAACAAAATCAGTTTTAACCATTAAAAAAATATGCCGTTCAGCAAAGTTAATCAACGCAACGTTTGAACAAAATAAAATGAGCCTTGAAAAAACACAAAATCTTCACAATATAATTGACCAGCGTCCCCATGTATTAAGATGGACCTGTGGGTTAGTTAGGTTCCTTGGGCAGCAGATAGTATGGCAACTGGTATAAAGATAGGTTGCCAGGCAACGAAACAAACGCCTCCAGCAGCAGATAGTATGACAATTGGTATAAAAGAGATATGTAATTTTGTAAAGATCCCACTCACTCAGACTGCCCAGTTGTTAATTAGCGTTCGCCCTGTTCCATGCTTCCGATGTGAGAAGTTTGGCCACTCACGTAAGGAGTGCCCTCTTCGAGGCCCAGAGAAGAAAAAACAGACAGTACAGCCTCCAGTTCCAGCAGTAAATAAATCCGTAGAGAACAGTAAAGTAGTAACCCAGTCTCCGCCAGTTGAACCCAAAGCACCAAAAAGACGAAGAGAGGATGGAGCTAGATCATCAATATCAGACTTCAAGTTCACCAAACCGAGACCCCCTCCAATAAAGATAAACGAAAGCAGTATCGAACAACAAGACTGCAGCTACCATCCCTCAACTTCAACACCTCACGACACAAGCTTCGATTGTAATATCTACAGTATCGTCAGTTAAAATAGTACGTTCGACTAAAGATGAAAAAAAAAAAAATATATATATATATATAACACGTGATTGTCTGCGATATCACCTCGGTGGAAGCGGACGTAAAATACAACTAACCAACAACAATATTTGTAAAGATGAGTTGAGGATGTATTGAGTCATGGGCATGTATTCCTACAACAGAAGACATTGGTCCAGTTCGAGTTACATGGGCTAAACGGGGCGTGTCCAGAAATGTGAGCAGAGGGTGATCCGGGTTGAAGACAATTTTATACGTGAGGTCTGGGGGATTACCCGATATATCAATAGCTCTGAGAAAATAGTTCTGCTTATTTAAGTGCATACATGTCTAGACGTTATTGTAAATTGAAAAATGCTCTTACTGAGCAGGGCATTGAACGCCCCCTCTCCCCACCCCATTCCCACACACACCACGATAGACACCCACCTACAGACACCCGCCTCCTGGGGAGATAAGATTAGATAAATATCTGACAGTTATCATTATAATAGTTAAAAAATAGATAATGGAAAGGGAATATGTTGATAGTGTCAGTCAAATACTTCACTTTGAGCTGGGTTATCGTTGTTAGAAGAACAGTGCCTACCGTTGTTAAGATAATAAACAAAGGCTCGATTATCCATTTTTAAATTAAATCATTAAATGGCAGAACCTTTTTAATCTATTTAAAATCGGCGTCATCCAATGGCATCAAGAGTTGATAATGGCGTCGTCATGTTAATTAATGTCTAATTAATATTTTATATAACATTTAAGGCCTAAAGAAAACCCCTGCAATAGGAAGATTTAGCTCTTGCATAATGCCTGTTGATAATGGCGTCGTCATGTTAATTAATGTCTAATTAATATTTTATATAACATTTAAGGCCTAAATGTTATAAGGCCTAAGAAAAACCCCTGCAATACGAAGATTTAGCTCTTGCATAATACCTGTTTAACTTCAATAAAAGTAAATACATGCAGATAAATAAGCTGATGTTGTAATTTTTTTAACGTTTTTTTTTAACGTCCCACTTTTCAGCAACTTTTCAGCATCAACCAGGTCAGCATCAACACGGATAGAGCCATGCAATGTGTCATGCGAAAAAGTTTACCCGTACAGCGGGTACCTGGGAGTGATTTGAGAGATACAGCCTTACTAGGAATCCCATGTCAATACTGTACAAGTTGAATTATTTTTAATAGGTATATCAGTCCATAATGGATTTATTCCGTTCAGTATTTACAAACATATGAAGAAGCGAAATTACATCGATCGATGGTGCCCCTCGTTTTCCTTTTCTTGAGCGAATCCGTTCACAAAACCCAGTCGCTTTTAACGTTTTCGAGAAATCTGATTGATGGACCTGTTTTAAATCCGACTAAATCCAAGACGTATAGGAAATTATCTAGCGTTGATATTTTGATATTGATTAATGTTAAATAATCAATCTAAATACATATTGACGTGTGCAAGCCCTCAGAAATTTGATATTTTCCGATAAATGCACATCACACACAGTTTCTTTCAGCAATCTATAAAATGAAATATTATACTCCAGTATGTAAAACACTCATGAGTATAGGCTACCATTGAATTTATAGTATTGAGTATTCAGAGTATATGTCCGTTAACTAAAGATAACCAATGTGTCCCAGTCAACACTCATGTAATCAGAGCGGGCCGGAATACTTGATGGTACCGACACGGCTGGTGAAACACCCATCCCACCGCCCCCGGGAAACACACCCCAACCAAACTCAGTTTAACCGGATTTGATCATTAGCCTACATCCGAGGTGATTAAATTAGAATGTACCGTATGTCAAATTTGATATAGGGGCCGGTGGCAACTTTTCCCAAGCATTTTTACAAACGCCGTCAAAAATATCTTAATTTAAGATAATTATTTTGGAATTTCGTTAATAAGATGAGCAGATATTTGGAATATGATAGGCCCTATATTATTATTAAAAAATGATTACATTTAATTCTTGGTGAGGGTAATACATGCCTCTTTAAGTCGTACTCCTCGCAGTGTTTCGTTTGATTAGAGATAATCCCACTTAACACTGCTGTAATGGAAGCAAATTTCTGTTCCAATTTAAATTATGACTGGTCAATAGCCCGATTAACAACCAATAGCTAACTGCGTAACAATATCATTACGCTTTAAACAGGGCTCCAAATTGGACCAAATATGTTTACATAACGTTACTTCATGGCTCGCGATTTTATTATGCCCAATAGCCCCAATGAACCAGTGCATAGCAGAATATTGCAGAAAAACTAATTGCGTGTCCAAAGTTTTAGGGAAGACTCCAGATTAAACGAAGGGCTGCCATGTTGCTGTACTTGGGATAGATTTGATTGAACGGGAAGAATAGACCCCCGACCCCCCCTCAAAAGCTCAAGTATCAGAAGCCAATCCAGCAATGACCAGAGAGGGAGTTCTCGGGCCATTGCTTCAGGAATATGCTTTAAGTGGATCTCATATGAAGTAAAGGGTGTCAATCAGTTAAACCAGCAGGGACTGTAGTTGTAAGAGAAATCGGCACCTAAGAAATCAAGCTAATTTGTGGGTGAATTCATGGAATATCGAATTATTTTTATGAAAGTAAAATTTATCATGATAGTTTTTAAATGATACTCAGACTGGATGAGACATTGTAATCATTTGTAAATCTAATCGTCTCTTTAGCGCCCTTACAGATCAATAACTGGTCCCCTAACTCTTTCCTGCTAGAAAACAAAAAAGGTGTCTGCATTGAACAAGATGGCCGACACAGCACTCACGCTCGAAGATTTGACCAAATTAAAGGTAATTGTGTGAAATTGAGGCTGTGAATCTAATTACGACATAGTGCACGACAAGAATGAATATAAGACGGGTTTTAAAAGACTCATAATTAGTGAATTGCTTTGAACTTTTATCGGATACTTCTTGAGTGCTGCTTGTAGGCTTGTATTTGGCTTTGTGGTGACTTTACTTCGGTGATTTAGTCGTGTCTCACCCAATACAGTTGCTAAATCAGTTTGTGGTGGCTTATATTTCATGCTATGAAATCGAGTAATTACTATCAAGATTTCCATGCTTTTCTTTTATATATTTCCATACTTGATTAATAATAATTTATGTACCAGTACTTATGCTTCTTGCAGTCGTATAGATCTGATCTATAAGTATAATAGCCTATAATGAAATGAATTGAAATGGGGTTTAACGTCCTACTCTTCTGCACCTAACCTGGGCTAATTGAAGACGGGCATACAGTGTGCTATAAGGGAAATTTTGCCCGGGCAGCGGCGCTACGGCCTACGCTTATATCGAATTCCAACTGCCAAGGGATCTTTTACGTGCACGCCATATAAATTATAGGCTATAGCTAGATCAGATCTATTATAGTATAATATAATATATGTTTATATCAGATTTCCATGTAATTGTAAATATCTTACCTTGGTTTAGTGGCTTCACTTCCTTGTTGTAAATTGAATGCAAACATTGTATTATCTTACCTTGGTTTAGTGGCTTCACTTCCTTGTTGTAAATTGAATGCAAACATTAACATAATTATGGTCGTGTAGCAAAATGTTGTTTGCAAAATTTGAGACAAATCTATTAGGCTATGGCTAGCCCAAACTGCATGGTTCTCTTGTTACTACTAACTAAGGCCTTTCTTTTAACCTTTCAAACTCGTTTTTCTCATTCAAACAATTTCTAGCACTCATTCAATAAAATAACACCCAATAAAACTTAAAGGAGTTGGGCATACTCAATATTATTCATACCATTCGAAATTAAAAACAGGAATTAGAATTCATGATTAGTCCATTTAAATCAGTGTTGATGTTGTAATACCATGAAAATATAATGAACAAAGAAAAACATATCCAACAAGACAATGCTACACAAATACCTAGTGACGGCTTATTCAAAAGGGGGGTGGATGGCCGAATGGTTAGCACGTGCGCGGGGTATCATAAGTCCTGTCATTGAGTCAACTGGCGTGGTTTCGTATCCCCGGTTGTACGTGACAAGGAGTAGGGTCACCTGTCCAACCTTGTGGGTTTTCTCCGGTTTCCTCCCACTGTTAAAGACCCCTACGCGCAAGCGAATTATTGAAATAAAATTAAACCATATGTTAGTCCCGAAATGACCTAGTTTGTGTCGAGTGGACGTTAAACCCCATTTCTCTCTCTCTCTCTCGCTTATTCAAAAACGACAAAATAATAATAAGTGTGTAGAATTAGAAAGGACCAGGCAAACGTAAACGACTAATGTTCAGTTTAAACTTTTCAGTATTGTTATGGTAAATCACTTTATATACACTCACATTACATTAATATGTGCTTTTGTTTTAGGCCCATTTTCATCTATTTAAGGTTCCAAAGATTAGAGTTCTAACCCTTTAAGTCACTCAAAATAATAACTATGATCTAAGCCAGATAGTGCATCTTGGGCCGCTAGGATACTTTGATCCTTCCACTGCCCTTTTTATAAGTTTTCTATACACATTTGACAAAGAACATGGTTAAACATGTATCATCCCTTTTCCTACAAAGATGTACTCAATATTTATCCAGTAGTAATACTACCATATACCAGCCAAAATTCTAGCTCTTGAAAAACTCACAGAATTATTCAATTGTTCCATTAACAAAGAGTTAACCAGATGCTAATTTCATTTTGTTTTATTTTTAATGTTGTATCACAGTACATTAACATCTGTAATATTTTGTTTTTTGACGTAGGAAGTCAATTGTCAGTATTGGTATATGGGTCTGTGTATTGTAGTGATCTACTGGAAAGCAATGAAAAAGCCATCTCTTTTCCTGGGTTGCCTAATTATAATTAACCATATTAAAGATACATTATGTAAGGTTTAGACTAGGAGCTGGCCATTCTTACTATAATAGTTTGAAAATAGATAATGCCAAATGAATTTATTGAAAATTTAATTCAAATTGCTCCATTGCGAGCAAAGATATTAGCTTTTGAAGGTTTGACAAGATGGTTGTTCGAAGCTTAGTCTAGCTCCACCATTTTTAGATTATATCAAAGTATGGCTAAATCGTTCTAATCTACTTTATATCGGAGATATCAGATGACATCGAGAGTCGATTATAGTCTTGTGTTGTTAATAAATGTCTAATTAATAGTTTATAGAACGTTTCAGGTCTGAAAAAAAACCTTCAATAGGCTGATTTAGCTCTCGCATAATGTATGTTTAATCTTCTAAATTAACTTTTGTATAATTAGATTAATACACAAGTAATCCCAATGAATATATTCTTTTTCAGGTTACAGAACTAAAGAAAGAATTAAAAGATAGAGGTCTGGCTGTTTCTGGATCTAAAGCTGAACTATTGACAAGATTACAAGAAGCTCTTGAACTTCAAGGTTAGAATTGGCCAATCTGTCTTTTCCTACATGGCATTTGTTTTGTATACTTTTTGTGAAGTCTGTTGTTCAGATTTACCAAGACACAACGCCTCATTACAAAGTGTGATCGAGAGCATACTGTGTATTAAATATTGGATATCAGGAGCCCATATTTTTACATTAATATAACAACATCACTATTAATTGGAATGGACCAATAATTTGTGTTTGTTATGTAGTGTTGAAAATGGATCGAGATTTGTGATCCGAATACGTTTGTTTGCTATCCGAATACTATTCGGATAATTCGGAAACGTGAAATTCTTGAACAAAATCACATCAAAAGTTCATATACTCATAATTTCTTACTTATTTCAATGTTTATGAGTAACTGTGTATGCTGAGTATGAAATCTTACTTTTGATTTGCAAATTGTTTGAGCCGCGAAGAAAAAAACGTGCCTACCTTTAGCCGCAATTATTAAGACTATCCATGATATCCAAAAAAATCAATGAGGTGGATAAATTTGTGTATAACTACTCCTGTAATCCGCGGCTCTCCCACTTATCATTTTTGCTCAATCAACACGAATGAAAAAAGTAAAATAAAAACATCTAACATTTATTCCGCCAAGGTCGTTTGCCTCATTCTGATAATCTACTGCTATTGAACCAATCAGTAAGTGAGAATATACGTCACCTAGGCCGTTATGAATAAATTTCATTGCGGGAAGTCTAAACACAGTGTCAACTTGTATCCCTAAACCCATGAAGTAGCTTCTATCTAGCGTAAACCAGCGCAAGGAATGAATGAATATTTTTTTTATTTAGACTACTGTTTTCGTTGCACTGCATTAATATTTTTATTCGTTACTATCGCTAAATAATACGCGTGATATTAACATTTATGCTCAAAGCTGCGTACGTGATCAATAGCATTGGGGAAAATTTCAAAGTAATCAGATGTAAAAATGGCTAAATATACAGCATACAGAATGTCAGAAGACTGTAACGGATAGTAAAATGAATAGGATAAACCTTATTTTGTATCCGTTAACGGATATCCGAATAGTAGTTTCAACTCTATTGACATGTCAAGCTAGCCACGGTGGCTAAGTGAGTAAGATACTGGCTTGCTAGTCTGGAGGTCGCAGGTTCGATTCTGGTGTTGGCTGAGAAAATTCATCGGAATTTTCCGCCGTGGTGTCCCCTTGTCAGTGGTGCAGGACGGAGTTCCTAACAAGAACAGCTGTCTAGTCATTCTGAGAAAATTCAACTAAATGTTCCAGCGTGGTTCCTCCTCGTCAGTGGTGCAAGACGGAGGGCCTGGCAAGGGACGACGTATGTCGTATAGTATTTCAGATGGGCTGATAAACCGAGGTCACGTTTACACATTGGTGTGCACATAAAAGATCCCATGACAGTTGGAATTCTAAATAAGAGTAGGCCGTAGCACTGCTGTCTAGGCAAAATTTCCCTAATAGCACACTGTATGGCGGGTGTCTGTCTTCATTCTCCCAGTCGGAGCAGAACAGTAGGAGGTTAAATTTCATTTTGTTATATCAAAGACTCTGGATAATATTGAGTTAGAACTTTACACCCTTTATTCATTAAAGATACATTATGGGAGATTTGATAAAGAGCTGGCAGTTCTCACTATAATAGTTAAAAACTACACGTAGATAATCGAAAGGGAATTTGCTGAAAATTTTAGTCAAATTGATCCACTCTGAACCAAGAGTTGAATTTTCGGCCTAGCCTTGATCATCATTACTGAAGTCGGTACGCTACAAAACATAGTCTCGATTATCCATTTCATGTTTAAATCATGAATGAAAGTTGAGCAGCAAATCTGATCCTAATCCAATAAATATTACAGGCTAGCGTTGACATAGAGAGTTGATTATGGTCTGGATAAGTTAATTAATGTCTAATTAATAACTTAGATAACATTTCAGGCCTATAGAAAGACCTGCAATAAGCAGATTTAGCTCTTGCATAATGTATGTTTGATAAAATAATTTTCTTCATTTACAACTTTTGAGATGCCATTAGACTGTTGATTGTACCTTTACATACCTAACTCTTTCAGAAGATACATCTGATACAGAACAAGAAATAAACTTAGAAGATACTTTAGGTGAAGATGTAGAGGTGAGTAATTTAAATATGACTACAATTGTTACAGGTAATACTATTAGCCTACACGAGATAGGCTAGGGTTTCACATTTTACAGAAGCTTTGAGGTTTGTGAAGAATTTTGGGGGGAATTTGGTGAAAAGAACTGTCCTCCAGTATCCTGATGTTCCCACGTTTTCCTAATGAACCATAATTGATTTTCATGATCATATATTGATTGGGTCTTGTGTTTCTTTAACATTAGGGGGTTGGGGGGGGGGCATAAAATATTAGTTATATTTTAATATTGGACTAGATTGTAGTTAAAATTTGTTTGATATTTTAAAATGTGGTTTGGTTTTCTTTTATAGGAAACAGAAGATAAGACGTTATCACCACCTCCAATAAAGAAGATTGCACTTAGTCCAAAGTAAGTTCTGTTTGTGATTACTATATACCTACTTTGCTCTTTGGAACACAGTCTTTTAGTACAATTAAAACTGTTGGTATATGTAGAACAGATTATTGATACCTGTAAAAGAGACTATTGATACCTGTAAACAGATTATTGATACCTGTAAAACAGATTATTGATACCTGTAAACAGGCTATTGATACCTGTAAACAGATTATTGATACCTGTAAAACAGATTATTGATACCTGTAAACAGGCTATTGATACCTGTAAACAGATTATTGATACTTGTAAAACAGATTATTGATACCTGTAAACAAACTATTGTTACCTGTAAACAAAATATTGATACCTGTAAAATTAATACCTGTAAACAGACAACAAGTATATGTAAAACAAATGTATGAGATTATATACATGTAAGTATGAAATGAGTCATTTATCAGAATTTACTGTGAAACTTTTAAAAAGTTTTTGGTTTGTGGTGTAATAGGCTGTGACCACTTTTTTTTTGTTTTTTGTTGCAGAGACTCAGATAAACCGGAAGCTGGTGAAAAAAAAGTTGTTGTTGGTGGGGGTTTGACTGAAGAAGAGGTATGTATTGGATATTATAAATCTTTATAACCCATAGAGTATGGACATCAGACTTTAAACAACTTAATTTAAAGCTCAAAACCTCATTTTGTAGCATTTTGTTGGACGCTTCAAATTTAAGGATAGAAAGAGAGAGCATTTAACATCCACTTGACAGAAACTAAGCCATTTTGGGATTAACATATATGGTACAATTTTATTTTGATAATTTGCTTACACATAAGGGTCTTTAGCAGTGAAAGGAAACCAGAGAATCCACGGGGAAACCTATACCGTTAGGCATTAAATCCTATGGAAGCCAAGCCACTTGACAAAGTGACAGAAGTTTTGGTCTTAAGTGCATGTACAAGAACACCCACTCACCACTTCCTATGTTGTATCATTGAAGTTTGCTATTGAGTGGGGTGATTGGATGGCCGAATGGTTAGTGCGTGCACGCTGTATTTTACAGTCTGTCATTGTGTCAACTGGCTTAGTTTCGATTCCCCAGTTGTATGTGACAAGTAGTGGGGTTGCCTGTCCAATTGTTGGTTTTCTCCCGAGTCCTCTGGTTTCCTCCCACTGCTAAAGACCCTTACGGCCTACGCACAAGTGAATTATTGAAATAAAATTGAACCATATGTTAGTCCCGAAATGACCTCTTTTGTGTCGAGTGGACGTTACACCCCCCACCCCCTCTCTCTCTCTATCTCCCTCTGTTATTGAGTGTATAATAATGTATATGAGTAGGATATTTGTGCCATATTCTGTTTAAGTTGTTTTTATTGTCAGTAATAATTTTCAATGAATTTTATATTAACAGAGATTGAAAAAACGAGCTGAGAAATTTGGAATTCAATCAGAAGAAGCCAGAAAAAAGTTGAGAGCAGAGAGGTTTGTTGGGAAATTTATTTATTTTTTTTCAGTTGTATGAGTGTCTTGATAATCACAACGATCAGTGTGTTATTCATAACTTACCACTTGTCAGATCTAAATATTAAGACCACCTGCAGATTTCATCAAGTCACGAAATGTAAACAGGGCTAGCGCTAACCCAAGACCTAGTCCTATCCCTAATCCTAACCCACCATCCTCAGCAGCCCTGTTTACATTTTGTGGCCTTAATATTTAGATCTGACCACATACGGTCACTTATCACTATAAATTCAGACATTTTTTTCCCGGGCACTTCCACTCTGGAATTTGGGGAGTTGGCGAGAACGATAAGCTTTTGCATGATTCTTTCACCTTGAATTAACCAGAGATTCTGATTGGTTAAAAACCTAGTTGACAATTTCAGTCAAGGTTCATCTTTGTCGATCTGTCAGATCTGTAATTATAAAAAAATTTAAAATGAAAGTTAGGTGAGTATATTTGTATAATGTTGTTGTATTTGTAGGTTTGGTTTACCTGCAGAAAGTACAAAAAGTGGAGGAGGAAAAATAGCTAGCACACCTGTACAGGTACATGTTTAAACTCATTCAGTCCTGATGTCTTCATCTCGTCATTTTATCCTACAGTATCGGTTGGATTTTATTAAAAATACATTATATAAAATTTAGATGAAAGTCAGTCAATCTTACTATAATAGTTCAAATATAGATAATGAAAAATGAATATACTTTGAAAATTTCAGTCAAATATTACTATATTGTTTGCAAAGTTATGAGAGTTTCAAGTTTAGACAAATGTAGCGTGTACTGTTTTTAATCGTAGCAACGGTAATTGACAATCAAGACTAAGTCTCGATCATCTAATTTATTATTAAACTCTTAAATGGCCGTAGTGGTCTAATCTACTTAAAATCAGAGTTCTGTCAGGTGTTTGACTTTGTGTGTTTTTTCCATTGATGATAATGATTTTTTGAGATTAGGAACTGGGCCTAAAACTATACTCATCGTGCTGTTCTTTTTTTGGTGGGGGTTGGATGGCTGAATGGTTAGCACTTGCACGCTGTACCATAAAGTCTGTCATTGAGTCAACTGCTGTGGTTTGGATTCCCTGGTTGTATGTGACAAGTAGGGTCGCCTGTCCAACCTTGTGGGTTTTCTCCGGGTCCTCCAGTTTTCTCCCACTGCTAAAGACCCCTACGCACAAGCTAATTATTGAAATAAAATTAACCATATGTTAGTACCAAAATGACCTAGTTTGTGTCGAGTGGACGTTAAACCCCATTTCTCTCTCTCTCTCTCTTTTTTTGGCGACGACACTCTTCGAACTAAAGCCTAGGTTCTGTCAATTCAAGTACAATCCACATGAAACCTGGCATGCTTGTTCCTTGGACAGTCACACATTGATTGACAGGCATCAATTTTTATTAGGATGTCACAATTCCATGATGGTGGCAATGATGTCATTTTCGGTGTCTGGGCCATAGTATGCTCATACTTGTTTTAAGCTGCTTTTGTGGAATTCGACTCCATTTGTGATGAAATTTTTTTTTTAAATTTTGAATGTGTCACATTTTTTTATGTTTCAAATTTTGAATAGTGAATGTGTCAAATTTTGGATGTGTCAAAGTTTTAATATTTATAATTAATGATTTACTGAAACAGCCTGGTGATTTAGACAAGTTAAAACAGAGAGCTGAAAGATTTGGTACAGTTGTTTCAAATAAACTATCTAAGGTAAGTGTTGTAGAATCATGTTTTCATTGCTGGATTGTTTCTATACGCCCACATTTTTTTATATAATCACTTACTGTTTAATTGATGCAGTATGTGGGGAGCACTCCAACACTCCCTTATGGGGGGGTTGGATGGCTGAATGGTTAGCGTGCGCGCGCTGTATCATAAAGTCTGTCATTGAGTCAACTGGCGTGGTTTCGAATCCCCGGTTGTACGTGACAAGGAGTAGGGTCGCCTGTCCAACCTTGTGGGTTTTCTCCGGGTCCTCCGGTTTCCTCCCACAGCTAAAGATCCCTACGCGCAAGCGAATTATGGAAATAAAATTGAACCATATGTTAGTCCCGAAATGACCTAGTTTGTGTCGAGTGGACGTTAAACCCCATTTCTCTCTCTCTCTCTCTCCAACACTCCCTTATAGGAGTTTCATAAAACCAGTAGAATTTAAAATATGTTAGTCCTGAAATGATCTATTTTGTGTCGTGTGGATGTTAAACTCCATTTCTCTCTCTTTATTTATTGGTAATATTTTCATGTTTAAAGTTAGAAGAAGAGGCACGAATAGAAAAAAGAAAAGAAAGATTTGGTACAGCTATAACTACTACAACTAATAACACTACCACTGTTACTACGGCCACCAGTAAATTAACAGGCAGCGTGGAAGATTTAGTAAGTAAAATAGACTATGTCCGTAGATTTTGGTGTTATATTTCTAAGAGGAGTTGGAGAGCCATGCTTCCCCAGTGAGTAAGACACGGTATCAGGTCACTCCTGGTTTTGGCCTAAATTGTGTCATAGTTTCCCCTTGTTGGTGGTGCAGGATGTGGGGGGGAGGGGGGGCTAACAATGAACAGTGTCAAGTCATTCGGATGGCACGCAAACCAAGGTGCTATGTGCACATTGGCATGAAAGCATATGACTGTCTTCATTAGCCCAGTCGTTGCAGAACAGTAGAGTGGTTCAACCCCCATTTCATTTCTAAGAGGAGTTACTCCCCTTAGTTTATAAAACATAGAGGATACAATGGGGATGCTTGAACATTCCGAACTGACAGAATCGCAATCGAGTGACGCAGAATTCAGTCCTGTTACAGTTCTGTCAGTCTTGCCGACGGATGTGGTGTCTTTAGTAGAATCGTGATGTAATTGAACACAACGAATATGTTTCAGCTGTCATGGTTGGTTGAGATATTTGCTCATGCAGTCGGCGCATGCGTTCTAGCTCCAATTGTCACTCAATTGTCACTATTTTTGGGTTTGACAGAATTCAATTCTGGAACGTTTAATTGACAGGTGGAAATATTTCTGTGACAGTTCTGTCATTCTTGATACTGATGGGTGCCAGAATCATGATAATGTTGCCAACCGCAGGTGTTTGATTGAGGTATTTTCTTGTTAAGTTGACACATGCCTTGTCACCTAAAATTCTCATTTTTACTTCATAACTTTTACTAAAATGTACAATCAAGTGCTTTAGAGGGGACTATTTTCCAAGGAAAATTTTGATCAACTTTCTTTTAGTTTGGTGTGGGCTAATCCAATTCGTGTCCCCATGAGGCCAACAACACTACAATTCATTTGTCGTAATATATCCCTACTTGCCATCTGTGCATTTATTTATTGGTTTTTTGATAAATTGTATTTTACAGGAGAAAAAAAGAAAAAGGGCTGAAAGATTTGGTTTAACGTAAACACTCCATTAAGTGTCCATTTTATCATTTATTCATTTGTATGAGGTGATTGGGTTGACCTATTCATGTATTTTAATTTCCTGTCATGTTTTTTTACTGCTGTAAATTTGTTAGATCAAAAAAATCTAAATTGTAAAGTTTTAATGATAAAATTACCAATCTGATTTAAACACAGATACTATTTCATTTGTTTTTTTATTATAGTTCAAAAATTCATTTTACTTCTCATTACTAAGACTTCTTAAAGAACCCGCGTTATGGTTGATGTAAGGGATTAGCCAATGAAGCGGTCTGTTGCAGCGAGTTCTTGACGTGCAGTGCAGGGAACTGTGGGTATTCTACTAGAAACATCAACGCTAATTGGTTAATCAAATGTCTGACGTCATAGGGTCAAAAGTCGCTTGTATGACCTCTGACATGACCTCCCACTACAACTGGTCAGATCTTCATGTAGTAAAGGCCATTGAAATTATAAAGAAATGAAACAAAATATAGATCTGTATTTTAATCAGACTGTAAAATTATAAATATGTAAATAAAATTTACAATTAATATTCATCAAATTAATAACGACCAGATAGTCATTAGACCAGTCATTAGACCAGTATTTTGTTAAATTATTTTTGAAGAAAATTTTTGAATCATTCATTTACGATACGCTTGAAGTTTTTAAATGACAATATATAATTCAAAAAATGTTGTTTTTCAGTTGACTTGATAGAAATGATTATCAATTTAATATAGAGTAAAATTACATTGTAAAAATACATTTATTATATATTAGGTCCGTTTTTCATTTCCGTGTGCGTTTTTTGTCGGCGAAAGTCGTTCTAATATGCAAATGCAATGGGTCCATTTTCATGTAACAGGATCGTTTCCATGCAACCTGAGAACACACCATACATGGAAACAGACCTTATTACTCCTGCAATAGTTTAATATATAAAATATAATGTCATTTAATATTAAGGATTATTGTTGTGCAAATAATTTATATACATTTTACAAACAGAGATTCCTTAATATAGAACAGTATTCTGAATTAATGAATTACATTAGTATATGGTTTCTCCTACCTAGTGGTAGTAAACATAGAAATATATGTACTGGCTTTTAGTTTTCTGTTTTAGAGTTTCTGATTTTATAGTGAAATGAAGATCTGCTTCTTTCTTGTTGATATCAGTGGTATTTCTATGCATTCATAACAACATATTTATATGTCCGACTTTTAGGCCACAAACTCCCACTTTTTTTCTTTTTTTTAATTGAATCAAAGATGTTAAATGCAACAGGTAAATTCTCATGAAGTCATAAAACTTTGCCATGGCTCATGGTGACATGATGAAAGTCATTAGAGTTACCTCCCATTGATATTCAATAATTGAAATGATCTACTTATATGAATACATGTACTAATTGTTTTTATGAGAAAGCTCAGTGATTTAAGCCCTTAAATATGTATGTATGTAAAATTCATATATAAATATGTCATCATCTTCATTCTGTGTTCATTTAAATATAGAAATAAAAAATTTCTAAGTTTAGTAAATTTATACTTGTGTTTAAGTAGACTGTATGCAGAAATCTTCCACTTGTCAGGAGGCGTGGGTGGCTAAATGGTCCGACGCACGCACTTTAGATCATAAGGTTTGTGATTGAGTCATGTGGCATGGTTTTAATCCCACGCTGTGTGTAACAGGGAGTAGGGCTGACTGGCCAACCTGATGGAGTTTTCCAAGTTGCTCCCACAGCTGTGAAAGGTAATTATTGACGAAAACAAGTCAACCATGTTAGTCCCAAAATGATGTAGGCTGTATTAAGTGGGTGTTAAATCCCATTTATCTTTCTCTCCAATTGCTAAACTACACAGTTTTACTAGTTTTTTCTTCATTTAGTATACTCCTCGCAGTGTTTTGTTTGATTAGAGCTAATCCCACTACTCACTGCTGTAAAGAAGGTAAATTCTTGTTCTAAATTATGACTGGTCAATAGTTCGATTAACAACAAATAGCTAACTGCGTAACAATACCAAACAGAGTTCCAAATTGAACCAAATATGTTTACATAACGTTACGTCATGACTCATGATTTTATTATGCCCAATTAACCAGTGCATAGCAGAATATTGCAGAAAAACTAATTGTGTGACAAGCGAGGCTATCAGCACGGACATAATGTAAACAATACTGTTTTGAGTCAAACAACCCTTTAGCCATTTTTAATACCTTAAATCACTGTCCAAAGTTTTAGGGAAGGCCTCTGATTAAAAGAAGGGTTGTCATGTTGCTGTGCTTGGGGATACATTTGATTGAACGGAAAGAATAGACACACTCCCTCAAAAGCGCAAGTATCAGAAGCTAATCCAGCAAGGGCCAGGGAGAGATTTCTCGGGCCATTGCTTCAGGAATATGTCATATAGAAGCTTGCTTATTGTCCAGAGCTTTAAACACAAACACGATCATGAGACACCAGTTATAATCAACTCGGGAGCCAAAGTGAGTAAGGCTATGGATTATTAACCAGGAGATAACCAATCTGATTAAAACACAATCCTATTTCGTCTCGTTTTTATAGTTTCAAAATTTCGTTTTACTTGTCTTTACTACACTTGGATCTGGAAGAGTTGTTATCATTGACGTGTTCTGAATGATGTCAGCAAATAGCTAATGACACAGTCTGTTACGGCAGGCTTTAGACGTGTTTTGCACGGAACTGTGGATAATCCACTAGTAGCATCAATGCTGATTGGTTAATCAAATGTCTGACATCATAGGTCAAATGCTGCTTGTATGATCTCGACCTATCGCTACAACCAGTCAGATCTTCATGTAGGCCATCGAAAGTATAAAAAACAAAACGAAAAATAGATCTGTATTTTAATCAGAATGGGAGATAACAGGATTGATCTGGGTTATGGCCGTGTTGGTTAAATTCTGAATTAATTCAGTAACTAGCTTATACATTATGATGGTTTTTCAACAAGGGAGAGAAATGGGGTTTAACTCGACACAAACTAGGTCATTTTGGGACTAACATATGGTTCAATTTTATTTCAATAACAGTGAGTAAGGCTATGGGTCATTAACTGGGAGATTACAGGATTGAACCAGGTAATGGCAGAGACGGTTCCTCATGATTGCTGCCAGCATTGTCAGTGAGCAGGAAGTAGTTCAGGTTGGACTAAAAATAGAGGTCCCATGTATACATTCCTGTGCATGTAACAAAGACTATTGTATATTATAAGTTATGCGGTTCAGAAAGATGGTATAGCCTGTTCTCAATCCAAATTCAGATTTAATGAATACAAATATTGTTTGTAAAAAAAAAAAGACTTGCGGGTTAAATTCGGATTTAATTCAATAACCAGCTTACTATATGAAGGTTTCTCTACACGAGAGACAGAAATGGGGTTTAACGTTGATATGTTGTAATAATTAGATAAGCTCCATTTTAAACCCTGTAACGAAGGTACGCGGACCGAAAACTAAAATCTCTACCAAAATATTTATTATCTATTACATAACAATAACATTTATTGACAACAAATATATAATTTAAATAATGTCAAATTAATTACGATTTGTATTTTTGGTGAAATTTGTTTTCCAGTGTATTAAGCTGATTATAAAGTTGATTGGCATCCTCTTGATCTATCTTTAACTGAAACAAAAATATATACATTAATGATCAGGGGGGGGGGAGTCTACATGTGGGCTTGGATGAGGGCCAATTTATGTAAACCTGTCAACATTTTGACATGCCAGGCAGTAGAGAGAGAGAGGGGGGGGGGGTTAAGATCCACTCAACACAAACTAGGTCATTTTGAGATAATAATGGTACAAATTTATTTCTATAGCAGTGGGAAGAAACCAGAGGACCAAGAGAAAAGCCACAAGGTTGGGCAATTAACCCTACTCCTTGTCACATACAGGCCTGGGATCAAAACCTGGCCACTGACTCAGTGACAGGCTTTAGACCACTCCCTAATCCCTTAATACACAACTAAGGGGAAACCAAGCTCAGGAACATTCTCGACCAACTCGGTGATGGAGAGAGAGAGAGAGAGAGAGAAATGGGGTTTAACGCCACTCGACACAAACTAGGTCATTTTGTGACTAACATATGATTGAATTTTATTCCAATAATTCGCTTGCACCTAGAAGTCTTTAGCAGTGAGAGGAAACTGGAGGACTTGGAGAAAACCCACATGGTTGGACGGGTGGCCCTACTCCTTGTCATGTACAAGGGGGGAATCGAAACCATGCCTCTTGAAGATTGTATCAAACATAGAAATTATTGACAGCCTAAAGATGCAAGTGAGGTTTTTTTAATACTTGAATATTCACCTTGTGCTGATGGACGTATCGTTTACCAATAAAATTACAGTGACTAACATATTTACACATTGGATCCAAAGATTCAGGCTTCTGTTTTGACAGCCATACCTATAAAAATTATTGAACATAAAAAATAAATGTATGGTAAAAAATTTATTCCAAATAAAATTACAAAAATCAAAAACAAATTGCTGAATTAAAATTGTTTTAGTCCAAACCTGGTCTTACAAAATTTAAATGTGTAGGCTTTATATAGCTGTTCAATGTTTATAGTCTTTAACCTATTGACGATAAATGTACTTACTAGAGCTTCACTACCATTATATGTATCGTAATTCATAGTAGGTACAAATATACGTAACTGAAAATAGAATCAGACATTAAAGGTTTTTAAAATCTTCGAATGGAATCTCAAATATCAGTTATGAAAATGTGCTAAATATCATCTTTTTAAAATTTGGATACATTTTGTATAAGATTAGTGCAGTGCTGTATTTAGATTAAGAGAGGTCACAGGCTATTCCATATGAGGCCTCTCCCAATACTCCACACCCTCAGGACTAGGGGTAGATAAAAGTGTGTTCTAAACACAATTGAGCACAGCCGAGGATGATGACAGATGTTTAAGAAAGGCTTATAACAGGGTCAAAAATATTATAAACCTTGGTGGGACCACCCCTATAGATCTTGAGGCACTAGGCTTCAGTCTGGTTCAAGGCTAAATCTATTTGTTAAGGCCAGCTGAATTATCGTCAAGGTCGCTGAGATGTAAATAAGGTTAGAGCACCTGATTGTTTTTGAGATTGTAGGTTAGGGTTAGGATAAACATTAGGGCTAGGTCCAGGATTAGGGTTGGGATTAGCGCTAGCCCTGTTTACATCTCATGACCTTTGACCAAACCTGAAATTGGACTTATCAAATAGATCTAACCCGGTACTGGTAAAGGAGAGGGGTTATTTAAAGGAAAATATTGAGCTCTTTCTGCAAGTTTTTTTACTGAGTGAACTGCACAGTTAGGAAATTAAACACGATTAGATGGGCCGATGTCTATTTGTAAGAACTCACCAGCCAAAATATAGGTAATATCAGATTCCAGAACCATGATGGTAGAATACCAAACGTTAAATTTGTCATCACTAAACCTGGACATGTCACATGGGAATAAACACCCTACAAATATAGTACCAATAATTTTATCCATTTAAATTCCTAAATTACAACTTGACAAATATATAGTAATACTGCATAGAGTGATGTTTCTGTTAATATAACTATACTTGATGGAACAATTAACAGAGAGAGAGAGAAAGATGGGGTTCAACATCCACTCGACAAACTAAGTCATTTCGGGACTAACATATGGTTCAATATTATGACTGTTTTGCATGTGCGTAGGGGTGTTTATCAGCGGGAGTAAACCAGAGGACCCAAAGAAAACCCACGAGGTTGAACATACGACCTACTCCTTGTCACATACAAGCGGGGAATTGAAACCATGCCACTTGACTCAATGACAGACCTTCTTATCCAATGTGTACATGTTAACCATTCAGCCACCCAACCCCCAATTTACACAAAGAGAGAAAAAAAAGATGTTTAACATGCACTGGACACTAATAAGCAGTTGATTTCTGGACCGACCGATATATATATATTTCATATTTCATTAACTTACTTAAGTTTAGGGTTCTTAACAAGTGCTTGCGTACAGGGTCCTTTAGATGTGAGAGGGAACGCAAGTACCCAGAGAAAACTCATGAAGTTAGGCAAGTGATCCTTGTCACATTGTGGGTACTCCATTGAACGTTCCGGAATTGAATTCTCTCAATCCCAAAATAGTGACAATCAAATGAAAAGGGGTATTTCGGGCTACAATGCATACGTCAACTGGATAAGTAAATATCTCATCCAACCATGCAGCAGAAACATATTCGTTGTATTTAATTACGTCACGATTCTACTCACACTACCTCCGTAGTCGGGACTGACAGAACTGTGACAGGACTAAATTCCGCGTCACTCGATTGCAATCCTGTCAATTCGGGACGTTCTGTACCATGAATCGAGCATTTACTTAATAACATAGGATTGACGTGTAAGAACTAAATGACTGAGGTTCAGGGTTCTTAAGCTGTGAGAGGCAATGCAAGCACCCAGAGAATACCAATGAAGTTAGGCAAGTGATCCTTGTCACATAATAACATAGGATTGACGTGTAAGAACTCCATGACTAAGGTTGCAGTCTGAAGTTTATTTCATTTTGAATTAACAAGTCTTCATAATTTGCAGCTTAACAGCGTAGATGAATCTAGATTCAATTTCAGATTACTGCAAATAGTTGAATTACCTTATTGTTCAGACGCTCATTTAAAGCTAAACTAAGTAAATCTGTGGAATATTTTGATGAACTGTAATGACCCCTGAAATGAAAATATGACAATAATTATGTTGTAATTCATGAGTGGTCATGACGACAGTCACAATTGAATATGTTTGGTACCCCGATGGTAGTGGGAGCCACGGTGGCTCGGTGAGTAAGACATTGGCTCGCTAACCTGGAGGTCCTGTTTTGTGTTGGTCGAGAAAATTCATCAAGATTTTCCAGCGCGGTTCCTCCTTGTCAGTGGTGCAAGACGGGGGGCCTGGCAAGGGACAATTTATGTCGTATAGTCTTTCGGATGGGCTGATAAACCAAGATCCTGTTTACACATTAGTGTGCACGTAAAAGGTCCCTTGACAGTTGGAATTCGAAATAAGAGTAGACCATAGAGCTGCTGTCTGGGCAAAATTTCCCTCCTTGCACACTGTATGGCATATGCCTATCTTCATTAGCCCTACACAGTAGAGCTGTAGGACGTTAAATCCCATTTCATTTTATTATGTACTTACCCTCTTTCATTTCTATGTTGTATATTTTCTAAACTGAAATGATGTTTTTGAGCATTAGAGGATGATGTCCAGATAATCTGAGACGGTCTGGTACCATTTATCAACACACTCTCTAACTCTTTAATCTGTTTAAAATAAGAAATGGTGAAAACTACATTTACAGCAACTAATTAATTTGTTCAAGCAGTCCTATTTTGAATCTTTAGGGGAATATAAAGTAAAATCTTTGTCAGTGGTGCAGGACGGAAGGCATCGCAAGGGATAATGTATAGTTGTTCAGATGGACCCAAAAAAACAGGGTTCCGTGTACACATTGGCATACACATATATAAGAAACTTTGGGAGTTGGAATTCGCTATAAGAGTAGGCCTTAGTTGCTGCTGTCTGGGCAAAATTTCCTTCCCTCATAGCACACTGTATAGCATATGTCATTAGCCTAGTCGGTACAAAACAGTAGGACGTTAAACCCCAACTGATTTCATTTGATTTCACAAGATTCTGCAAAGTCATCAGGGTGAATAACTAATGGAAATTTTTATATTTCACTAGTTTCATCATTTAAACATACATTATACAAGAGCTAAATCCGCCTATTTCAGGTATTTCTTTAGGTCTGAAATGTTATCTAAATTATTAATTAGACATTAATTAACTTATCCAGACCATAATCAACTTTCGATGTCATAGCTAGTCTGCGATATTTACTGGATTTGAATACATTTTGTGATGGATGATTTGCTGTCACAATGGATAATCGAGACTTCGTTTTTTATTGTACCGACTTTAGTAATGATGACCGAGGCCTAAAATTCAAAAGCTAATATTTTCAGCATATTCTCTTTACGTTATCTATTTTTAAACTATTATAGAGAAAACTGTCAGCTCTTTATCTAATTACCCATAATGCCCCTTTAAAAGGGTATCGATTGGGATCCTGGCAAAGATGTCTATCTCCAGAGTCTTCCAAGACAGCCCAAAAGTGACGATAAAGATTTAAAACTTACCAGAACAAAATGACCAAAAACATTAGTTGTAAAAACTTTTTCTAGGTTTTCCTCGGTTATTTCTTCTTGTTCCTTCAATAAACCATCACCAGTTGTAAACATGTGAATAAAATTCCTGGTAAAAATAAACAAATTTATTATCAGAGTGTCTGTAGTCGCCTCGATAAAACGAAAGTAGTTTTCTACGTACAGTAACTGACAGTTCCTATCGTGATGTCACAAACATCTATTATATGTGTAAGAATTTGCACTTCAGGTTGTGCATGAGTGAAACTATTTTAATAATATATAATGACTAAATTATAAAACAAGGGTTGACAGGCAATGAACCATACACCAACAGACTGTTAAGACATTCAGGCAGCTACACAGATTGGCCACAGATTTGATATTTTCCAAAATAATATGCTCTAAAAGTGCTCTGAATACAAGGACAACACAAGATCCTATATGTAAGCTTCACTATAGTGTTGACGTTGGAGTCTACTGACCATACATTCAATAACACTTCCAATTGTTGAAAATCGATACATGTTTTCAGCTTAGAAGAGATCCCATGATAATTGTGGCTCCTAGCGTGTTCAAAAAGTGCAAACTGATACACTGACGGACATAGTGAATGTATAAAAATGGGCAAAGCCTGAGGTCTTCAATAATATATGTATATATATAAGTTACTGTACACCCACATTATATTATACATTCATTTTCCCGTCATCTTTTTTTTTTTTTTATAAGCAATATTTTTATTCAGATTTCTATCTGAATAGGGATTGGGGAACAGGCATAGCCTATATTAAACCCTTCTCCCTTTATATAATGACCATGGTTCGCCAGTCAACTGCCAGCCATCTCCAGATCATGACCATGGTTTGCCAGTCAATTGCCAGTCATCGACAATTCATCATCTTAATCATCTATTATATGGGTACTTACTTTGTAAATAAAGTCTTCCAAAAATAATTCCAGTCTACTCCAACAACTTGCATAATTCCAGCATTTAAATATAAATAGTCTATATGGCTGTACCTATAATAACGATACCACATGATTGAAAAATTCTCAGCGTATGTTGAAACAATATCTTAAGGTACGTTGCCAGGCAACGAAACATACGCCCACAGCAGCTAAATCGTCCGAGCGGTCGACAAGGGTAGTCGCACATTTATTCTTTTGTAGATAATTGGGGGCATTTATTTACAAGACATTTCCGTTGTTTGAGGGTTCACAAGGTTCTACAAGTATTTTACACAAATTGTTGAAATTTGACTGGCTTTTTCATTTTACCCGGTCAGTAGCACTATGGCCTACTCTTATATCGAATTTCAACTGCCAAGGAATCTTTTATGTGCACCGCAATGTATACACAGGACCTTGATTTTTTTGTCCCATCCAAATGACTAGACAGCTGTCCTTGACAGGCCCTCCATCCTGCATAACTGACAAGGGGGAACTACAATATTTCAAAGGAGTACGAAGAAAATGGCGTGAGCACAAATTGCCGTAATATTCAACTTTAAGAACTACAACATCTGAATGTACTTGTGCTTCTTTCAACCTGATGTGATGTGACACAAACTAGGTCATTTCAGGACTAATATATGGTTCAATTTTATTTCAATAACTCGCTTCCGTGTAGGGGTCTTTAGCAGTAGCAGTGGGAGGAAACCAGAGGACCCAGAGAAAACAGACGAGGTTGGACAGGCAACCCTATTCCTTGTCACATACAACTAGGGAATTGAAACCATGTGAATTGAATCAATGACAGACCTTATGATACAGCGCGCACACGCTAACCATTCAGCCATCAACCCACCCTTGGAGGTTCTTTAGACGTGTTCCGATGCCATACACCTTGTCCTGTCCTTGTCCTGTCAAGAAGAATCTAATGCACATGTTTAGGCTACCATGTTTCAATCTTAACCAGTTAACTCCTGTTAGAACATATTCAAACTCTGTAGCCAAAATGTTAGTACGGAGTAGAGTCAGTCTACCAAAGAATGGGGAAATTTATAATTGTCAGGGATAAAATTTAAAAAACTTCTACTAGGTATATGTACCAGGGTACTTACATTTTTTTAATTTCTGTGACAGCATTATATACTGATTTAATATTAGATGTATCCACGATAACTATCGATATCTGTGCTGTTGGGTGGGACAGTTGTAACGCATCTAGTGCTGCCTGGGCTCTTGTTTTGTTTCTACATGCTAAACACAATCGAAGTCCTGGATGTTCTGTTAATAATCTCTCTGCTACTGTTAAACCAATTCCACTGTGGAAACAGAAGAGTGAAATTGATATTTCTTGCAAACAAAATTGAAATTATAAATCAACTCATTCAAGATTTGTATTAGAGGAGTCTGAATCCAGTTCCTTAAATGTAGTTATCTCCCTTTAAATATCAATTCAAAGAATAGTCATGAATATCAAGCCTACTCGCTCTTCTCTTAAGAGACAAAAATTGTGCACTTTCGAATCCACTTGCTTTAAAATTAATATTAAGAAAACATTCCTAAAACGTAATCCTCATGTACTTACGCGTTGCCACCAGTGATAACAGCGACCTTACTGTTGTTATCCATTTAAAATAATGGTCTAATTTTCTTCTGTTGCTTATATTTATAACAAGAATGCAAATCTTGAAATCAGGCGATGTCTTGCATGGCGGAAGAGGTTATGCCCTCTGCTCTTTAACCCATGACCCATGACCTCTGACGGGCTCTGACAATGTGGCAAAGAAATGTCGACTGTCAACAAAAACTATTGCTTTAAATTTGATGGATTGTTTTAAGCAACTTTTAACCCAAATAGGCATGGCTTGTGGCTGTATTATTTCTCACATAATGTTGTAAACACCATGTCTTTTGTTGACATTGTTCAAATTGGTAAAGGTAAGATTATTATTACTACAGAAATTAGTAGTTATTATTATTAGTAGTAATTTCGTTACGAAATAGAATAGATATTATAATAGAATAATATAATAATATTCAACTCAAGTTAGTGTAGCCTGTAGGTCTAATAATTATTAAGTATTCTTACAGTATTGATTTTGTAAATCAACCATGGAACAGGTGTACGTGTAGATAAGGCAATATTTGCATTGATGCTATGTATAGTTAAATTTTAATAAGACAGATATACAATCTTATGACTGAGATAACTGGATTGTGTAATTGTAAAGAGGTAAGACTATAAATTTAACAGGTAAGAAGATATAGGCCTGGTGTTATTTTACCCACATATTGTATTATATAAACATTCAGCAATAGGGCCGATAAGTAAATCGTCATGAAACTTATAAAGCTTCCCCATTAAAGTAGCTATTAAGTCTCTAACTCAATATCATCCAAAGTCTTACAAGTTGAAAATACAAATTATTTGTCAATTCAAATCAACATTGATGTTGTGATCTTACCAGGAAAAGGCAGGCTTCTGACATCCAATATTTAAGACAAAATAAACATTTTACCATTGGTACACGAATCGTGTACCATAGTGCGTTTAAGCGTCATTTGTAACAAGTGACCAGAAAGAACGAGGCTAGACATATTCAACAACTTATGTCAAACGATGACGCCATATATCTTATCTGGAGAGCATGCTAAATAGACTGGAATAACCAGGCACTAGAAATTGCTATAGTGTTGAGACTCATGCTGTATTTCGCTTGACATAAATGATTTGAAATAGAGTCAAAAAGGAAACAATTGAATGTAAATCAGTTTATATACAATTAGATTACATTATTATATGTGTTGCGACCCATTTGGGTCCATTTCTAGGCCCCAAATATTAGTGATTTAGCTCCTTTAAATGACTATTCTATTACAAACTAAAAACTACTATAAACCATGGATCCAGCGCTCAAAAGCTTTACTTAGGCCTAACCTTTACTTATAGGATGGATTTAAAGTTATAAACAAGTTCTCAATTTTGCCATTTTTGCCATCGACAGGTTTTCAAATAATTTTGACATTGGTGGGTTTTTTTTTTTTGCCATGTTATAAGCAGGTTTAAAAAACGATGGTGTTTTGAGTCAAGGGGTGGGGTAGTGTAGCATTCACAATTAACACCTACTATTTAAGCCAAATCAGTGTAACTATTTTGACTTCGTTGGTTAGAGATTTTTGTCTGGAAGTTAACTTAATATGCTTGTGCCCAATGTCGGCTGGAGCGTCATTCTAAGTATTTTAGGTGACCAAGATAAACCAACTTTTGAAAAAAAGCCGTCTTGAAGACAGGTAGACAACTGTTTTTTTAAACTACATGTATTACAATTGGACAACAAAGTTAAGCTGGATTTAGTGTCTAAACAGCATATTAATTAAGATTTTCACTATAACACACTTTTAAATTTGTATTTTTTCTGCGCAAATTTAAATTTGATATTTTAAATTAAAACATAGCTACAAATAATCACACTTTTTGAAAAAATATTCTTGCAAATTTGTAAACACTATAATTAAAGTAAAAACAAAATTACCTCAAAATTGAACAATTGCCATAGTTTTGAAAGTAGAGCACGGGAATGTACATTTGTGTAAATAAATTCCAGCTTTTAAGGCTACAGTCAATATTTCTTCATCACAGAAAACAACATTTTGTTTATTTACATGTGGACACAATAAATCTCAGGATATTGTGATGTGTCAATGGCCTACTTTGTACTAGAAAACACCTTAAGATAGTCATTTATATGTAATAGAAGACTGATTTATTTAATAGAAGTATTCCATTTTTAGCATCACAAAAATACAAATGAATTCGGTTTTAGATATTATAAGCTAAATTTATCTAAAAATTTAACCAGACTTAATAAACTGTTTATTTTTATGATTTAATTCTAACCAAATAACATTTTAAACAGATGGAGCATGAATGGAGATTGACATCAATTTTTCTCACTACAGGATATGACAATAAAAGGTGTCTAACCACATTTGGCACAAGTATGAATAAATAATTAAATGGATTTAAAAATATTATATCCTGGTTATATATTTAGATCTATTCAAATTAAAACACGATGTCATGAACGATGTCATGAATGACGTAATAAACAGGTTTTTTTTAAACTTTTACTCGGACAATGGAATTGTGAAGGGATATCCTAAAAGGTTGTAATATTTGACAAATATTTGAGAAACCAAATTTTATTTTAAAAGAGACATGTAATCAAGGTGGGTTTTTGGCTGGATACAGTACCCCACTAATATATTAAAGATATTAAATCGGAAGGGATAAAAAACCAAAATCCCATGGGGGTGGATGGCCGAATGGTTAGCATTTGCGCGCTGTATCACAAGGTCTGTCATTGAGTCAACTAGCGTGGTTTCGATTTCTCGGTTGTACGTGACAAGGATTTGGGTCGCCTGTTCAACCTCATGGGTTTTCTCCGGGTCCTCCGGTTTCCTCCCACTGCTAAAGACCCTGTGCTTAAGCAAATTAATTAATTAAAAAAAAAATTGAACCATGTATTAGTCCCGAAATGACCTAGTTTGTGTCAGTTGGACATTAAACCCTCCCTCTCTCTCTCTCTCTCTCTCTCTCTCTTTCTCTCCGAAGTCCCATGTCTGTGCAAAATTTCCCTTGGAATAACACCCTGTAACGCATAGACACATCTTCATTAGCCCAGTCCGTGAAGAAAAGTAGAATGTTAAACCTCAATTAATTACAAGCTTCTTATTGATAAAACTATGAGACATTTCATCTAGTCATATAGAGGTATCTTGTTAAAACTTCCTATGAAACAGGGTTTAATCAAGTTTAATGCCTTGTCAAAACCATAACTTGGTCATTTTGCGACTAATAAATTATTTAAGCGGCCTTTAGTAACTCGATGAGAATAACACATGAAACAATTATATGGAATACAATTTTAAGTTACTTGAAAGATTTATTTCTGGCAATGTTTCCACGAGGGTTCTCTTGTCTTTATCAAGTAAAGAATATATGGTAATTTTAATTTCAATGCTTACACATGATTTTTGCGTTTTCACCTACTTTTTTTAAATTCCCAACTCCCAAGGGTTACTTTATGTGCTGGCCAATGTGTACACAGTAGGTACTCTTTTTATTTGTCCCATCCGAAAGACTAGTCACACCACACTTTCTTCTTGTCAGCAGGACCGTTTTTTTGCAGTTATTATTTTATCTGTCTGGAGGTCGCATGTTCGGTCCCAGCATTAGCTAAGACAGTTCATAGGAATTTTCAGACGTGATTTTCCCATGTCAGTGGTGCAGGACAGCTGTCTAGTCGTTCGGATGTGACGAAAAACCCAAGGTCCCATGTATACATTGGCGTGCACGTAAAAGATCCCTTGGCAGTTGGAATCCGATATAAGAGTAGGCCCTAGTGCCGCTGCCCGAGCAGAATTTCCCTCATAGTACACTGTATGAGGGTATAAGTGGAACCATTTTCGATTCACAAATAATATTCACAATGGTCACAATGAGCTTAATCTTGAAGGTTCAGAGTTAATCTGTTTTTGTATTAACTTTTATTGTGCGTATTTTTTGTGTGGCTAGCATATTGTCGTCACCTCTGTCTATCTGTTCGCAGATGCAAATTTTCCAGCACAAACAGCAAGGCTTGTAGTGTGCATACTTTTTGTTGACAGTCAGTGATTTATTGGATCACTTGTTTTCTTATTAATGTAGGGGGGTTGGATTGCCGAATGGTTAGCGTGTTTGTGTTTGTATCATAAAATCTGTCATTGAGTCACTTGGCGTGGTTTCAATTCCCCGGTTGTACATGACAAGGAGTAGGGTCGCCTGTCCAACTTCATGGGTTTTCTCTGGATCCTCCAGTTTCCTCCCACTGCTAAAGACCCCTACGCGCATACGATTTGTAGAAATAAAATTGAACCATATGTTAATCCCGAAATGACCTAGTTTGTGTTGAGCTGAGGTTAAACCCCATCTCTCTCTCTCTCTCTCTCTCTCTCTCTCTCTCTCTCTCTATTAATGTGTATAAAATTATGTTTTAATAAGATTAAATTTCAAGTCCATGCTAAATGTCCCATTAACGGTGTTTATTGTTGCTGTGATCTATTGTGGTTCAGGTAAATGTATAAAGACAGGATGAAACCTTTAACCTACGTTAGTTTCATACGATTTGTGTTAAGGTAAACATAGAGAGGAATATATGATTGTTTTGTGTAGAGAGCTACAAACATTGAGGCAAGATAACTGATCTATTCATTTTTATAGGCTTTCTGTGTAAGTACATGTACAAGTCTGGACCAAGAAATATTATTATTTAATCTTCATTGATTAGTAGGTGGGTTGGGTGGCCGAATGGTTAGCGTGTGCCTGTTGCATCATAAGGTCTGTCATTGAGTCAACTGGCGTGGTTTCGATGCCCCGTTTGTATGGGATAAAGAGTAGGTTACCCGTCCAACCTTGTGGGTTTTCTCCGGGTCGTCCGGTTTCCTCCCACTGCTATAGACCACTGTGTGCAAGCGAATTATTAAAGTTAAATTGAACCATATTATGTTTGTGTCGAGTGGACGTTAAACCCCTTTTCTCTATCTTTCACATTGATTAGAGATTGCAAGGGTGCATGCAAATCTCAAAAGTTTATATGCACAAGACAAATTATGCAATGAAAAGTAAAGTTTAAGCCCTTGAGAAAAAAGTTAAACTTGCAAGAAAAATGTATTTTTAGGCCTGAACTTTGTATTTCAAGTATTTAAAGGAGTGAGCTCCTTTGTATTAGAGAACAAGTACAGATAATGGCTTAAATCTAACTCTTGTAAAGAATTGTTGACAAATATATCTGAACTGCCACTTTCGATTTAGGCATATTTACGCATCGCCCTTGAATCAGTAGTGAACAAGGCAGTGTTTATCTATGTTTATGTATGTTTGTTCTAATATGATTTTTCTTTCATTTTGTAATTGTATGCTGCTTCGATCCCATGGGCGTTTCTATGCAATAAACTTACTTACCAGGAAATATAAGCTACTCTGTGGAAGCTACTACTGATCATGTTTTCATAAATTAGAATGCATTCTGTGATTGTTTGTGCTGGTTTTTTTTTTATCTTCGAGTGTTATTTGTTTGAAATCATTAGAAACATTTTGAATTTATATACCAATGCTTCAAGATTTTTTAAAACTTGAAGTCTGGGGGGGGGGGGGGTAGATGGCCGAATGGTTAGCACGTGCGTGCTGTATCATTAGGCCTGTCATTGAGTCAACTGGCGTGGTTTCGAATCCCCGGTTGTACGTGACAAGGAATAGGGTTGCCTGTCCAACCTCGTGGGTTTTCTCCGGGTGGTCCGGTTTCCTCCCACTGCTAAAGACCCCTACGCGCAAGCGAATTATTGAAATAAAATAAAACCATATGTTAGTCCCGAAATGAACTACTTTGTGTCGATTGGACGTTAAACCCCATTTCTCTCTCTCTCTCTCTGAAGTCTGGGATTTGTGGACTATGATTTTAGATTTAACTTTGCTGGTGGTGGTGGCTTTATAAGGGGCCTGACAAGCCTCTGTTTATCTTTTAATTATATATTATTTTAAACAGGGCTGTAAATTTGTCAGTATTTTTTTAATTACTGTAATAATGAGTTAAAATACAATCTGATTAAAACACAGATCCTATTTCGTTTCGTTTTTTATACTCCAAAATTTTGTTTAACTTTACTACACTAGGATCTGGAAGAGTTGTTATATACCCCGCGTTCTGGTTGATATGAGGGATTAGCCAATGAAACTGTCTGTTGCAGCGAGTTCTTGGCATTCAGTGCACGGAACTATCAAATGTCTGACATCATAGGGCCAAAATCCACTTGTATGACCCCTGACGCGCCACCCCACTACAACTCACCAGATCTTCATGTAGTGTAGGCCATCGAAAGTATAGGCCTGTATTTTAATCAGATTGGTTTGAAAAAGGCCATCTCAAGTTTTTAATGGAATTTAGTCTGGTGTTTTACAAGTTACAGATGCATTATGTACCGGGAATTCTCGTAGTTAAGCCCTGGGCTTAATTTCGAATTATTACCATGTCAGCGATGAAACATTTCTGAAGAAATTAAGCCCAGGGCTTAAATTCGAAAAGAGGAAAAAACGACAAACATTTGGGTTCTTTTTATAATTTTAAATGGAACGAATCAAATTCATCAACAAAAATGGTTTTTAAAACACAATTATGATACACCATCACATAAATGTTCTGAAATACAAACAGAAACTGTCTATAAACTTTAAATTTCAAAGTTCTTTGAACAAATCAGATCTCATGGGCTTTTACTAGTATGTGGTTTGAAAATTTAAAAGGGTGCAGACCACTCTAAAATAAATTTTAAATTTAAGCCCATGGGCTTAAATTCGAAATTTAAACTCATTATTAAGCCCATGGGCTTTATAACGACAGGGCTTAAATACGAGGATTCCCGGTAAGATTTAAATAAAGAGATGTCTGTTCTTGTTATTATAGTTTAAAAATAGATAAAAAAAAAATTAATTATCTATTGAATATTACATTCAAATAATTTATTCCAAACGAAGTTATGAGTGTTTGAAGTTTTGACAAGATTTAGCCGAAATAGTTTCGATTGTCAAGTACTGCTACGATAATAAAAGCGTCCTGATTATCCATCTTAATGTGTTCTTATCCATTTAATACCTCGACCATCAG